ACTTATTGTAATTATTATTAGTACTATCAATATTGTCGTTATTGTTTATTGTTATTGGTTATTGCCACTTATTATTTATTATCAATTGTTTTCAAGCTATTTAAATGATTTATTTCATCGTGATATGCCTGCAGCTAACTAAAACTTCGCTATAGTATGATATAAACATCAGCGATGCCTCTGAAACCTTTGAGCAATGGTCGTAATAGTAAGACTTCTCCATTCGGAAACGAAGTGACAGTTGTTTCTCTGAATAAACCAACTATCGGAAAAGCCCATCGAGCGCTTTGATGACTGCATGCACCAAATGACTAATTTTCAAGATAAACAGCAAGCAAAACGGAATATGGATTACGCTGTTATTGCTTCATGTTTATAAGAGAATTCCTCAGAACTGTTATGAGAGATTTATGAGAGAAGGTAAAACATTATATAAAACTAGTAAATATTTCGCGTATGAGTAATGGAATAGTATAGAAAAATTAAGAATTTTAGATTTGAAACTACGATTGCAAAAAAAAAACGTTAAAAGTGCGTAACAGGGTGATATAGGAATTCGCCGGCTCGTCTAAATCTTAATGATATTTCAGAATTATTTTTGAATTTCTGTTATCACCGTCTCTCTCTGGTTCGCAGCCTTGCAATTAATCGAACCAAACAACAGAAATGACGGATGCTTTTGGAACAATATGAAAAAGATTGTTAATATTATTTTTATATTATTGAACTGGTCTACCAAATTTTTTTCCGTTTTTTCCTAGTTTTTTTCAAGCTTTTTTCGATTTTTTATAATAAATATTTTTTAATAAATTGTTTTTTACTTATACTTTTCTTGAAAGAATTTCATAAAAGAATTTCAGAATTTCATAAGTATTTCATTAAAAAATGTATTTTTTGAAAAAATTTTCAATGATTATCATTTTTTCAAAATCAGCAGCTTTTTCGTTGAACATAATTTTTATTTTTACCATAGACTGTAATAAAATTCCTTTTTATTTATAAAATTGCTTAATTTATTTTTATTTAAAGGCAAACTTCACGAATAATAAGCTTTCACTGATACTTTAACAATTTTTTTTCAGCTAATCAAATTATAATTTTATTAGAAGATGGCACCTATCAGTTTCTGATTAGGCTTACTCCACTGGCTGCAAGAATAAAACAATGTGTCAATTGGGCAGGGTTGAAAGGACTATCCAGAACCTATAACTATCACTATCACTAGATCGGGAAGAAAGACTTTATGAACTGGTAAACCCTAGCCACTGGCCAGCGGTGGGCGTAAGACTTCGTAATGAATTTCAAATTTTTGGTGAAAACCTAACCTTGCAAAGGCCGCAAGAATAAGAATAAAAAATTTTTTTCATTTTAAATTAAACATTATTTATTCATAATTGTGTAGCTAAATTTACGTTAATATGCCGCGAAGTGATTTATTTATTTATTTATTTATTAAATTTATTTTCGAGAAGGAAATTAATAAACACTTATATGCAAAAGTCAAGAGTTATGAAGGCCACGTGTGCTCTTCAACGTGGCTTTCGTCCATCAGCGATCTAAGGAATATACAAAAGTACTCGTAATAAAAATAAAAAACTATTATTGTCCGCTTTCTTTACTGATTTTCACAATTTATTTCGAATTTTCAGAAAAATAAAACAATATAATAAAGTTTTTCATCGATTTTCTTTCCAGAATAATTTTCTTGTTTGAGTTTTTGCAAGAATAAAGAAAATAGTAAATAGAAAAAATAAATTCTAGAAAAAATTTATAATAAAATAAATTTTTTTTTACAAATAAATTTTTTTTAAAGTGAAGAATTATTTTGCAGAATAAATAAAAAATTATTCTAACCAAATTGTTTTATGAATCAATTTTTTAATAAATATTCAGCGATTTAACTGATATGAAACGTTTTTATTGCATTCATAAATATAGAAATGCATATATTTATATATTTATATATTGTACGTTACTTTTAGTGAGAAGGTTAGAAAATAATGAAACAGCAGTGTTTTCGCTCATTATAAAGATTATATTTAAAAACTCGAAATTTCCTTTAATTAAAATGAATTTGGAACTTATAGAAATTTATATTTTCTTTTTCTAAACCACATTCATAGTCTCGGTTTGGCTCGCCCACTTACTAATGGGATGAAATGCTTTCGCCGAAGAATAGTGGGATTAGAAAAAAGCCAGTCGAGTTCCTAGCTCCACGTGGATTAGAACGACAGCTTCTCTTCAGCTAAGGAACGCGCATCGAGTCCGTTATGCTTATCATCAGCGGCAGACTATTCTTCAACCACTCTTGCACTTCTTATTTTTAATCTGAACTGTTGATAAGAAACAAAAAACTGTTGATAAGAAAGAAACTGTTGATAAAAAAATTAATCATTTCGGCTTTTTTAGAAAATATTTTCGCAGAAAAATAGAAAATGGATTGATTTACCTAAATTTTAACCTATCTTTTGTAATCTCTTTTCCTTCCATTTTTATTGTGAAGGGTAGGACAGTCGCGCGTATTTTCTAAATTATCGTATCGAGAGCCAAGGACTTTTACTTCAGAAAGGAATTAAGTTCCGAGTGGTATGGGTCGCCGTGACCTGTATTTCCGTGACATGTGACGTCAAGTGACATGTGAACAAATGAAACATTTCATTTCTAACTGTACTAACAATCTGCAAAAAGTCAGCCTAGCTTAATCAAAGAAAATGAGTGCCAACCACTTATTCCACTTATATTTTTTTTATAAATTTTTAATTTAATTAAAATTAATTTTAATTAAATTTTTAATTTTTAAAAATTTTTAAATTTTCTATAATACCACATTGTAATGAAAGTGTTTACGCATTTATCTTCATACTGAGGATAAATTTTCCAAAGATTAACGTGTTGCTTTATCATTGCCTAATATTTTTCTACCAGCCAGCACCATTGCCGGTTTAGTCCGTTCCACCGACGACGGGAGTAAAACATTTGCAGTCTTCCTGATCCAATGCCAATTCTGAAAACATCTGAACCCACTAACCACCTAGATTTGTATATTGCTGGGCCACCTATGCATGCGTACCCACCCCCAAACTGTGCCGTCCCAGGCAACGATTGGTATTCCATGCTGTTGATGTCATCCATCACAACTTTACAAAGCAGCAAAATGAGCACAAATTCCTGTGGCGGGCGACGAAGAACATGCCATAAGCTTATATGAATTGTCGCAGACCGTCTTCTCAGGGAGTTTTTATTAGATTTACCTTTTTTTTTCCCTAATGTTTCATCGCCCGCCACAGTCCTCACCGTTAAGCTCGCTCCGCTGGCTTATCGCACTAAATATACCAGGGAGATCTTTTGGCGGTAGAAGCACAGGTGAGTCGCCAGCATCACCCGATTTTTGTACAGGTTTACTCTTGCGAGGAACAGAACCTCAGCATCGGCGCTCCGAATTGAGCAACAACCCACTGAGCCATTCTACCCCAAGATTTACCTTTATAGATTATGAGTTATAGACATTATCTCATCCTCAGTTGATGATTCGTAATCGATAGGTCTTTATCACTCGTTCCAGGCATATTCGGTAAACTGATGGCGCGATATAGTTAATTAGTTAGTTAGTTATTTTTTTAGTTAGTTATTTTTATTATAGTTAGTTATTATAGTTAATTATTTTTTTTAGATTCAAAGAGTGTTTTCTCTCCACCAGACATTTCTTTGATAGCCTTAACTGAGTTCACTGACCATTTCTGGAGTCTGAATGTTGCTTTGCTAAGTAGGTAAAATAACTATCTCTAAATTCAAAGCTATACCATTCCATTATCGATTTTTGTCCAGTCTTTCGACAATTGTTAAAAGCCTACGGAGCTGCCGATAGCCAGCAATTTAACTTTGCGGCGCGAATGGACAGCTGGATCACTTCTTCTGACAACCACTTTGCTTTCTTCTGAATCATGTATTCTAGGACGAATTTGCTGACTCTTCAAGACAGAACTGGAACCAGAATCTTTTAGTAGGTTTCCAGAGACGCTAAGGCTGCTAAAATTCTCTAGGTTTCAACACTTCAGCTTGAAATTTCCTAAGTTCCCTGAATCTTTCAATTAAGATATTCAAAAAATTTTGAGGGATTTTTCGCATTGTCAATTTCATCCAAATCTTCGCTTTAGTAATAACGCGGTCTGACTCGTGGAAGTTTCAGCCCTACGATATGCATGGTGCCTACAGAACTTCCCATCAGCAATTGACCAAAACATAGTCAGTCTGATTCGTGTATTGATTATCTGGTGAGTTGGAGTCGTAACTAAATGTCTTCTACAGTGTATTCTGAAAGTCATATATAGGTGACCACGCTTCTCAACATAGCGGAGAAAATACTCTCCATAGGAAAATGGGTTCCAGTGCCATATTTGCTGATATTTATCGCATATATTACAGGAGGGTTAAGAATGCCGCGCTCATTGGAATATACGAGCGCCACTTGCAGTTCACTTGGTCCATTTACCACAGCGCAACCTAAGGACGGCGGCCAGGCCCAGGCTTAGGCCCAGACTTCACTTAATTCCACTTCTGCCTGGATAAGCAAACCATTATCTTTCAATCTTTTTTATACGTTCCCGTTTTTATTTTCGGGTGGAGAAGGAACAAAACAAAAGTATTACTAAAAGTCGTACGAACAAGTAGAATTCGATTTGCTTTATTTCCGTTTCTTCATTCGAATGCAATGAAATTTTTCAGAAAAGTCGGTCGGTTCGTGGCTGTTGGGTGAGTCGTTATTTGTACAATGCAGGCTGTCGGCGAATGTTTATAATTTTCATTGGTATTTTTTCTGTTTTCGTCCTATAAACTCATAAATTTGAGATAAACTGCACTATTTTTAATTAGGCTTTCCGACGTATCGATTAATCGGCATTCGTTCCGCATCGCTTTTTAAACGGCACGTTTGTCGGTGCGTACGTTGCATGCCGGGCAAGTGGCGAGTTGGTTTTAATTTAAGTTGACTTCCAGGAGATTTCTGCAAATTCGTCGTCGCAGTTGGAGTGCAGCATTTCTGTAAATATTCAGCGGCAATGTCCGAGTTCGATGATGAAATGGGTTTCGCCTGCGATTGTATCGCTAGTAAGATTTATGCGAAACTTCCAGGCACGCCGGGTCGTTCAGGTTCGTTTGCTGCCAAATTTTTAGGGAACAATAATGCTTTGTGCACAAGTATGGTATTTTGCTTAGTCGCTCGAGTAGTTAAACGTCATTGTCCCGCCTACGTCTTTTGATGGATGCCAAGGTCGAGTTCCCGGCGAAAAGAGCTCATCCGCTAGTGGTGGAGGTTTAAGCAGAAATGGTGAATATTGTAAAAAGAAAAAGAAAAGTTGGTGAATGAAGGCGGGAATATTTAGCTGTTAATTCCATTGGCTGTTACTCCATTCAGAAATTTTTACCACTGAGCCATTTGGTGGCAGAAATACGTGTTCACCAGCTTTTTCAGTGAATTTTTCCAGTGGTGGATTTATTGTGGGAGGTGGAAACCGAGATCCTCCCTCTCGTAATCTGAACAGTTATTTGAACCGCTTGGTTATCTTTCCCTCCTACCCTCCTCCTTCACCTTAATTTATTTTTATGTGTTTTTATATAAAAAATTCATCTGTTTGAATTCTTTTAATTTATTTTCATATTTCTCTAGAATCATTTACTTTTTTTGCTTATTTTACCCTGCTAATTATATAAATATATATCATTGAGTATGAGCTATTTGAATATAAATTATGTAAATTTCACTCTGAAATACGAATTATATAAAATTTTTTCCTTCATATTCAAATAAATTTTATTTACTTCTAAAATTTTTTCCTTAACAAAAGTATCGTACAGCAGGTCGTATTCCATATCGTGCTGTTTATGATAGCCAAGATGAAGCACGTCGACGTGGTTATTGGATTCCAGGTGTTCCGATTAAAGCAAAAATAACGAAAGTTGAAAAAGATACTAAATTTGGATTGCATCTAATTAACGCTTATTTGTAAATTATTTTGTTTTTTTATTTATCTTTTTTATCTTTTTATCTTAAAAATTTTTCGTCTGTAAATTCTCTGTTTGAATTTTTTTCACTTTTTTTCGAATTAATTTTTTGTGCCTTTTTTATATTAAAATTAGCGAAATAACGAAATAGAGATGTTTTTTATTAGTTCATTTAAGGCTTAATATTTTAAGAATATTTTACCTCTCTTTTGCATCACTATTCTATTGTGGAATATTTCCTCAGTAATTGATTTTCTAACTCCCAATAAAATTTTTATATTTTTTCTCGCATCTCACTAATTGTTTTTTGATCTTTTAAAACGGAGAAGTGCTTAAAAATTAAAAATTTTAATTAGATTTTTTTTTTAGATATACAATTGAACTGGAACATGGACCATTTCGCTGGAGCGTTGTTAAACGTAATAAAGATTTTGCAGTTTTGGCTGCAAGATTGTTAACTCATCGTGCAGCTGAACGTATTCGTGCACCTGTAAAAAGGTGATTCTTATCAATTTGTAAAGTTTAAATTTTTTATGGATTTTCTTCAGTTCTGCAGGTTTTAAATAATAGGGAATAAATTAACTTTGTTTTTAATTAATCATTAGCATTTATTGTGATTATAGTTCATCTGAATTTTTGCCGCTTAAAAATGAAATATTTATGAAATTTGTTTACATCTTTTTAATTTCTTAACTTTTCATCTATAGATTCAACAGAAGTGTACCTACTTTTTTTTATTTTTCTTGGTTATTTAACTGCAAATCCTGCAGATCCTGTCACTATATATATTTTTTTGTTCTTTTTGCTGAAGTTTTCTCTAATCAGTTCTTTAATAGGTTACGCTTGGGGACATCTCGGTAATTCTTTTAATTCTTCATCATTCAACATTTGCATGCGTAAAATATCTGTTTTTGTAAAATTGCGTCCATGATTGTTTACTTTTCATATTGTTGCTTGGTCCATTCGTATTAATTTTTGCATTTTCTTTAGGTTTTTATTCACATTCATTTCAATAATTCACGCTTTAACAGTTTATTTTTATCGTAGAAAATTTTAGAAAAGAAGTTAATTATCAAATAAAAAATTGAAAAAAAAATTTTTTAAAAATATTTTATTAATTTGAATGAAATATTTTTGTCTTTTAATCATTTAATAATATGCATTTATTATTATTATTATTCGTATGAATATTTTTAGTGGATATTTTACAGAGCGGCAGAAGCAGTAGACGATGTGCTTGAATCAGTTGGTTTGGATTTACTTCCTGAGCATTCGAGTGATTGCATTTATAATCGACGAAATCGTGCCTCCATGAATGTCGGTATAAATTTTTAATATAATTTGTAATTCGTTGTTTTTTAGATTGTTATTTTCATATAGGAAAGAACATTATCGCCATGTCCTGATATAGAGACAAATTTGAGTTGGCAGTGTCGAAAAAGTGAGTCAAAAGAAAGCTCTAGACATTTATCTCGAAATGTTACTATTGTACAGGTGGAAGACACAACAGCATGTATGTTTCTAATTCTGTTGCTTACTGTTGCTTTTCCTTTAAATATTTAATTTTACGATATAACATCTGCCTTGTTATTTTATTTAATTTAGGAAATGTTTAATATTAATATTAATGATTAGTTAAACGGTCAAGTTTCCCCTATTCCTAATTTCAGAAAAAAATAATAAAAAACATGGGCAAAAAATACAAAAATATGAATAGCAAAAGCGATATTACGATAACAATATTTTTTTATTAGTTTCGTTGTGAAGCCTATTATTTACAGCTTCGGATGAAAAATTATCACCAGAAGGTAAGGTGCTAATTAAATATCATCATCTACCGGCTTTGGGTTTTGTTCCTGATTCAGTTGGAGATCCTAATGAACGGAAAGTATTTCTTATTGATAATTTTTTTTATTAAAAATTGCTTTTGTGATGCTTTAAGTGCTTGTCCCTCAACTTTTCAATTTGTCGATATTAATGCTTATCTTAGAAATGAGATTCGTGTTACTAAGATCTTCTTTGTTTATTGTTTTTTTAGAGATAAATATTCTATTATTTTATAATGAAATGTAAATAACCACCAAAAAATAATTTTCTTTTTCTTAACTACTTCGGTTTTGAGGAAAGATTGGAAGCTTGGCTACAAGCAGTGTTACATATACCTGTAAACAGGAACCACCACGAAACCGTACGTGTTTCAAAATATTTAAAATGTCAGATTTTATTAAAAAATGAATGACATTTTGCCTTATTCTTTAAATATATAAATAAATAACTTCCAGGCTGAGTTTCTCGAAGTCTCCAGATTTTCTTTTGTCAATGAATTAGGTGGTAAGTATGCTGAAGGTTTTGTGAAAAAACGTCCTGGTGGTAATCGTGTTTTTATTGGTTGGAAACAATTTTGTGTGCGGCATTTCCTTTGTTGGTCAAAGCGCTGGTTAATCTTAAAGGTTTTTTACCATTATTGTTGTGTGGAATATTTTTTTTGTTTTTTTAGTGAAAGAGGAATAATGATACAAGTAGAATTTGAGAAAAGATGTGGTATGTCCAATTCTTCGCATTTTTTGTTGTGTAAGATCTGAAACATTGCATTTTGAACTTGTCCTTGGTACCTCAGTTTTGTAGCGATATGTTGTAGGATTCTTCTGTTTGTTATATGGACGCAAACAATGAACAAATTCGATTCGTCATATTCTTCGATCGTGATTTTGGAGTTTCAGCTGGAGTGGATGAAACTGAAGGAATGCCTAGTGGCCTCATTTTATCTAATCAACAACAGTTAATTTTTTAATTTTTTAAATTTTATGCAAAAAATATTTGGTAGTTAAAAATATTTATAGTGAATTAGCTCTAAAATGCGCAACGCCTTTGGATGCTGAAAAGTGGAAGATGGCTATTCTTGAAACAATGAATGGAGTAGGTCGCATATGGCGGGAACCACATCCTTACGGTTCCACATACCCTGTTAGACGTTCACAATCCGTTAATTGGTATTTTCTTGAAATATAGTTTTTTTTTTTTCACCAACAAAATTTTTCATTTCAAATTATAGAGTCACCAAGTTAAGATTATGCAAAAATGAGAATTGTTGAATTTCTTTTATTTTCATTGAATTATTTAATAATAGTAGGTGTAAGTGTAAGTGTCAGAAAATTATTTCATTGGAATAGACAGTAGAGTAAAGTTTTGTATATTTGATTGAGAATGACCACAGGTGAAATTTCCTTTCTTTTCATCCTTGATTAAATTCTTGGAATTCTTATAGAGTTTTTGCTATTAATTCTCACATAAAGGTTTGTGGACGGACGAAGTTTCATGGAACATGCAGCTAATATGTTGGAATTAGCAAGGGAGGAAATTTTCATCGCAGATTGGTGGTTGTCGCCTGAAATTTATCTCAAACGACCTCTTATCGAAGGGAATCGTTGGCGCTTGGATGAGCTTTTAAAGGTAACTCGGAGTAGGTCTAGATTGTATGATAAGTTACTTAAAGTTTTTAAAGTTTAGAGTTTTTTAATTTGATTAATTCAAATTTTATAGAGAAAAGCTGAAGAGGGAATCAAGATTTTCGTATTGCTTTATAAAGAGATGGAAATGGCACTAGGCATCAACAGTATTTACACAAAAAAAACATTACAGGGATTGCATAAAAATATCAAGGTAAATAAATGATGAATATAAATAAATGATGAACAGTAAAGTGGTAATTTAGGAAGATCAGTCTCTTCATCTGAACAACTTGATTTTGCATTTTAATCTTGTAAGAATATAAATTTTTTTAGACATATTTTGTCGTCACGCATTTTACATTTGTATTTATTCTTTTTTGTTTGCTGTCCGAAAATTTATTTATATAATTAAACTGAATTATATTTTAATTGTGTCCGATAAGTAATGTGAAAAATTATTATATGAAACTACGAATTATTTTTTTATCCACGATTTATACTGTTTTGGTAGTTCATTGTTGTAATATATCTCTTTCAATAGTGATTTTTTATGTTTTTCCAAGGTTCTTCGACATCCAGATCACTATATTTCATCGGGAACATTTTTTTGGGCTCATCACGAAAAGTTAATAATTGTTGACCAGCTAGTTGCATTTGTCGGTGGCATTGATTTATGTTATGGACGATGGGATGAAGCTCGCCATAAATTGGTCGATCTCGGCTCAGTGAAGTATGGCGAAGGTCATGCCTTTAGCTCTTGCAAGAATTTTTCAGTCGTATGTTTTCTTTTTCAATTTAATGCCATAATCTGACATACACATAATTTTATACGTAATTTATGAAGTTATTGAAGATATTTTTAAGCTACATGGAATGCGATCGTTAGCAGCAGCATCTGCTACTTTTTCTCCATTAGGTCTAGAAGATGAAGAAATTTGCTCAAAAAGTTCAGAGCAGATATGTGATATCGATGAAGTAGATAGAGCAAGCCAAACAGAAAAGCAATCGGTGTCACATGCAAAAGAGCCATCTGTCAATTATTGGAAATTAAGGCCGAAATATTCTTGTCCTCCTAGCGATTTACAAAAAGTTCCAACTGTCGTAAAGGCAACAGGTGATTTTTGTTTGATAAAATTTTTGATCTAATTGTTTTGTTTTTGTGCATAATTTTGCAGTTTTAATTATTGCAGATTCAACAATTTTAAATAAAAAAGTAAAAAAGAACTTTTTAAATGTCGTGAAAGAATCGCATTTGGCTATACGTCGCACGAAATCAATTGCTGCTCCTCCAATCGAAATGCTTAACATGGATGCTGAAAAAATGGATATCGCTGATGCTTTAAAAAAATACAAAGTTTGTTTTTTTGGCGCTAGTTTAATTTACTTAGCAGTTTGATAATTTGGAAGAAACTAGTAAGTTTTTATGATATTCTTATTTATTTAGTTATATGTTGAAAGTGGCAAAGCATCAGAAATAAAAAGAAGAGCAGGAAGAAAATCACCTCCTCCTCAGCATAAAAATATGTTTTCTCGTATGGCGCACAATCTCCGACCATCTGCAAAAAAAAGATGGATGAAAGTAAAAGAAGAAACTAGTCGATATGATATTAGGTTTATTTAATTTCATCATATTATTTCATTGCAAATTCTCGATTATTTTCATATTTTCATAAATTCTCGATTAAATTCTTTGAATTTTTATAATGGAAATTTTTATATAATGTCTCACCAAACTTATACTGTAGGTGGTTAGAACTTAACGATCAAGATGAAAAAATAAAGGGTATAGAAATGGAAGGAGCTGGCAAGATATGGTTGGGCAAGGATTATGTGAATTTCATTCGAAAGGATTTCGTTCAGCTTGATATGCCTTATCACGGTTAGTTGCTGGAATTTCGTTTCAAAGATTTATGAAAAGTAGCTTAACCTTTAATTTCCAGATTTCATCGATCGTGGTAGCACTCCAAGGATGCCGTGGCACGATATTCATGCTGTGACTTATGGTAGTAGTGCACGTGACCTGGCGCGACATTTTATTCAACGATGGAATGCAACAAAAGTATTCGCGTATTTTAATTATAGGTTGTATAAAAATAGTTTTTCAATTAATCATATTTTGAATCTATTGTTTTTGAAAATTTTAGAGAATTAGAATTTTTTCCTAGTCTACTCTCTTCTTATATATTTTTTGTCCTTTTTATTACAGACAGAAAAGTCCAAAGATCTAAAGGATTATCCATTTCTTTTGCCTAAATCTTATGATACTATCAAAGTGCCCAGAGTGCTCTCAAATATTAGCATATTGGCTGACGTTCAAGTATTGCGGTCAGTATCAAAATGGTCATCATTAATTAACCATACCGAAGACAGTATTCAGCAGGTTCTGGGTTTATTCCATTTCTTCCCACATTTTTTGCAATGAAAAAAGCAGCTTAAATATTTATCTTGTGATTTTTTTTTTTAAGACTTATTGTTTCTGGTTAAATTCATTCTGTTGATTATTAGACTAGACAAATATGCCAGGGAGTCCCTCGCCAATAGAAATGTAGTTTCCAGCATCACTCGTATTTTTCAAGGATAGAATTTCCTGCTGGGATTAGTACCTCAACATCTAAATTAAACTATAACTGGGCCATTCTTCTCTCCTTTGTTTTAGGCGACACCGTCATCCAATGAAGCCGTTTGAAGCCTCGATTCTCAATGGCAGTTCTTGCCACTGAATTAAAGACGGCTATCTTTATGATTGATCTCTTCTCTTAAAAAACGCTGGATTGTATATCTTACCTAATTATTTATTTACAGGCGTATTTATCTTTGATAGCTAACTCTCGCCATTGTATATATATTGAAAATCAATTTTTCGTTTCTTTAATCGAAAGTCACGAAGTTTACAATGAAATTTGTCGAGTTTTATGTGATCGTATTAAACGAGCTTATTAGTTTGCTTATTTCTACCAGTCTTTTCTTATTTCCATAAATTGCTATAATTTTTAGATTTATATTTAAATTCTAAATATTTAAAAATATTTAAAATATTTATTCAAATTCTGATTGCACTATCGCGTTTAAATATGTCTCTAACACATCATTTATGATTAAGTTTAATTATTTTTTTTGATCTAATATTCGTTCGGAATTGAAGTGAAATTAAACGGAATCAAATTCTATTGATAAACGAATTATTCCAGTTGGTCCAATTTGTTTTCAGTGATAAGGAAAATTTTCGAGTATATATATTGGTGCCTCTATTGCCGGGATTTGAAGGAGATGTTGGCACTCCTGGTGGGTCAGCTTTAACGGCTGTGTTGAATTGGACTTATTTATCATTATCAAGAGGACCGAATTCATTGCTGGAAAATCTTAAGAAAGTGGTTCCCGATCCTATGAAATATATTAGTGTCAATTCATTGCGAACGTACGATATTCTATGTGGAAAACTTGTTAGCTTTATCTTTTGCATTTTCCTTGCTTTTTATTTTTCATATTTTTATTTATTTAATTATTCCTTCACAAAATTATCATCGATTATTAAACCTGATATCTTCATTAAATTAGACAAATTTTCCTGGGACAATGAAATATAAAACTGAATTCTAAAAAAACTCTGCAGTTTAAAAATTCTATATTAAAAGTTTGTATTTTGACTTTTATATATTTACTCTTTTGTATTTTTTCTTTATATATATTTTGTTAATTTTAGGTATCAGAGCTCATTTATATTCACTGCAAATTAATGATTGTTGACGATAAGAGCGTTATCATTGGATCAGCCAACATAAATGACCGTTCACAAATGGGCAATAGAGATTCTGAGGTTTTGTCTTATTTTCTGTCAAATATCCATCTCTATTTGTGACTTTCATATATAATAATTGTTCTAGGTTTGCATTCTTATCAAGGATATAGATTTTATCCCCTCAAAGATGAATGGCAGGCCATATGAAGCAGGAAAATTCGCAATCAGTCTGCGTAAGCGGCTAATGATGGTTCGCATTTTCGATTCATTTTTGAAATGGTTGTGTATTTACCAAGTTTGTTCAACGTAAAATCAATCTTACTGATTTTTGTCCAATTATCTTTCCATTTTAATTCTAGTTTTTTTCATGCTTTCAGGAACATTTAGGAATGTTGCCTGAACAGGTTCGTCAAAGGAAAGATAAAATAATTCCTGATATAGACTTGGACGATCCAGTAATCGATTCATTCTTTATTGGTACATGGAAATCTATTGCTAAAAAAAATACCAAAATTTATGAAGATGTTAGTTATTTATCGTTTTTTTGTTAGAAATTTATTATTATCACAATAACTTATTATTATAACCATGAAGTTTTTGATAGATAAATCGAAGAAATAAATAATTTATAAGTAAAAAGGTAAGTATTGTTTTACAACCAAAATAAAATCTGGAATTTATTTCGAATGATTTTTGGTAGGTAGAAAAATTTTAAAACAAAAAATTAGATTTAATGCAAAACCTTTTTACTATGAGTTTTAGGTATTTCGTGTTTATCCCACCGACCAAATCCATAGTTTCGAAGAATTGAAAGTTTGGGCTGGTCAAATGCCAATGAGTGAATATAGTCCGCAGATTGCTGAGGAGCAGCTCCGTGATCTTATTGGAACACTTGTTGAATTTCCATTGAATTTCCTATTAAAAGAAGATCTTGCTCCAGGTTTGGGGTCCAAAGAAGGGCTTGTGCCAACTTCTGTTTTTACTTAAGACGTTTACTAGCTTATAAGTTCATAAATGTGATTCTTTTCATTGTCTACCTTCCATTTTGCCCATTATAATTTAGATTCTTCATATATTCTTCCATTTAAAAGCTCAAATTGCTTTATTTATTTTCCAGCATTTATCTTATTCGCCTTCATTATTTTATTATTATTTTATTTTATCTTTATTATTTTATTTTTCGTATTGGCATTCCAGCAAAATAACAGGATTTTCTATTTAAAAGCGCCAAATCTTTTTATCGATTCTTTTTTCCTTGAGTTGAAAAAATGGTTAGCTGTTTCTGATTAGACTAACTGTACTGGCATACGACGAAAAATTTTTGTCAAGAGAAGAGAATAGAAATATAGTTTACATCTCTAGTACCATCTGTTTTTTAATAACGTTTACTCTTGGCAAAGCTTGAACCTTGGTGATGGAGGCGATAATCTAAACAACAATCTATTCAATCATTCAACCATCATGCATCTCATTTCTTGCTCCTTATATTTTATTTCTGGTAGTTCATTTTTTTTAATCAAAAATTAATAAAATTTACTATATATTATATACCAATGATCAGTTTGTTCTCTGGAAGCATGAGTTATTAATATTTGGTCCTTATATATTTGCTTCCTATTTTCAGTTTTTTAGGTCTACTTTATTGCCGCAGTTGTTAAAAAAAATGGTGATATATTGTATATTTGCTTCTATATTTCTTGATATTTGTCTTGTTTTACTTTGCTTTTATTTCTAATTAATTTTATTTTGTTTCTCAAAAATATGAAAATTTCCGAAATATGTACTGTTTAATTAAAATAATTGATTAGGTGGGACAGGATAGCGAAATTGTTAGATTATCGTCTCGAGCTCTAAGTTTTGGACAGGAATAAATGTCATCAAAAAATCCAAGTGGTGTTGGGAATCTCATTTCTTATTTTTTATCCATTAAAATAGGATTTTTTGAAGTTTTTTTCAAATACGAAATTAAAGTTTAGCGGTTAAAAGCCTTAATAAGAAGGCCTTTCGAGCCTTAACAATAAATTTAAAGTAAAATATTTGATGGTTATGGTTTTTTTCTGTTCCAATAAAAAAAAACATTTAAATTTAAAAGCGGTTCTGATTGCTGCTTAAACTCGATCCGCTGGCTGCTAACATTGAGAAATTTTTGCTAAAGTATTAGTCCGCAAGAGAAGTACGTATGATTTGCCAGCAATGATCGGGTTTTTCAATGAGAGCTTTACGCATGTCGAGAGCAGCAGCAAAAGGTCTGTGGATAAAAATAGTCCTGTGGATAAAAATGTTTTGAAATTTTGGATTAAATGCGGCAAACATTGTCGAGGTTTAACTTCAAATATTCATTTAGCTAAAGGAATATACGGAAATTAAATTTTTGCGATTTATAGAATGATTGGAATTGCTGTTTGAACTCCAAAATAGAATGGCGTTGTTTGATTTAATATATATATATATATATTCTTTATTTATTTCCTTTGAACGGACGGTACAAAGCTGGGAAATGCCTCACAATCAAATCACCAAACTTAAATTTAGGACATTGCAGCCTGGATACTGGTTTTAATTATCGCACCATATTGCATTCTGAGAAAAAAATATTAATGATGCAAATTTTTTGTTAAAAATCACGATTATATTTCTTATCAGAAATGATTTCTGGTACTACTTATCATTCTAACGGAATGAGAATTACCTTTTTGCCAATTTACCAAGGGATAATAAATAAATGCTATTGCTATTACCGTAAACTGTGTGTCTCATGAACTAATTAAGATTTTGCTTATTTGTGTGGTTCATAGCTACTTTCATTTATGTGGTTCATACTTATTTGTAGAATATATATGTGAATTAAAACGCCAGAATTAACAGGATTATTTTTTTAATTCATAGGAATATTATTCCAAAGATATTTTTTAATTTGCAAGAAAAGAAAAGTTTTTTAAGAAAAAATTTAAAATTAAAATTTTTTTAGAATGTAAAATTTAGAATAAAAATTCCTTCATCAATTTAAATTCTATGATTTTCTATAATTTAAGTTCTATGATTTTCAATAATTTTTGTGTTAATTTTTATTATTATATTTAAACATTGCATTATTAAAGCGTTCATTGAGCAATATTTGCTTTAAAAAATATTTCTACTGAAAAAAAATTGGTAGATGATTTGCTTCTCTATTGTATTGTCCGTTGGCGAACCATTTAATCTAAAAATATCATTTAAAATAAAAAAATATATTTTGTGGAAACATTTTTAAAGCCTTTCGAACTTACCCTTTCGCAATTTGCTGTTGCAATACAGATAAAAAATTTGACCATAGTTTATTTATTTCAGATGGGTTGCCTGCAAAAGACTCTGTGCCAAAATTGTTTGATCCTACTAGCCAATGCAAACCTAGCCAGATGATTATTAACCACTTATTCCTTAGCCTATCTCACCTCTGGAACATATTTATTCTACAATTTGAAATCTTTTTTTCTTTACATTTCGTATCTAAATGTTAATAGAGCTTTTTGGCTTACAGGCTATATCACAGGCTATTTTCGACTTTTTTAATACTATTATTTCTCTTCGATATCTTCCTTTTGTTAAACATCACTTATTATTCTATTATTGTTAATGATACCACATTGAACTATAGCGAAGTGGAATTCGAAGGAATGTAAAGGGAACGTAAGGATTTGAGTTTCTAGACGAGTTCTGCTAACTAAAAGCATGTCTCGGAAAATCAGCCACTTCCACGCTAGGATATGCTAGCAAGAAATGCACTGGTTAGGTATCGGAAATAACTGTCCAACTGTCCGAAAAGGCTGCCAAAGAACGAATGTCAGGAGAGACTACTGGATGCTTCGAAGAATTGCAAAAATAGCACGGCAGGACAAAAATCGCTATTTGAGCAATATGAAAATAGAGACGGTGGCACGATTATGCAATAACAGAAAACTATTCCATCTTTATAAAACAACTCAGACATACAAAACAGTAATGGTGTGCCTGTTAAGGCTGTTAAGGATTGCCTCGTAAGGTGGAAAGGATTCTTTAAGGCCAAAGCTAACCACGATGCATCATTCCGGACATAGCTTATTGCACCACACGTTTGTGAACCGCAGACAAAATAGGAAATAATCTTTGTCATCCACAAGCTTAAACTTATAAAACTACCGAAGAAGATGATCTTTGCACCGAATTCTTTAAATGTCGTCCATCGTTATTCATAACATAAATGTACACTCTGATATGGAATAAAGAAGTGACACCAGATGACTGGATTGCTATCTTTTTACTGAAAAGACATACAGCAGTACCAGATACCAATACGTAACCAAGCTGGATTCAACGGTTGTATTATCCAGATAATTACGTTAAGAAGGGTGCTAAAACACCCTTTAAACATCATGTTCTATCAACTCACCTTCACATGTTCTATCGATAGTTGTCTTCGATTCAATTGATAGAGCGGCGCTTTGGAGGGTGATGGGACATGATGGTGTTCCATGGATCATTCGATCTCAAAAAGGTATTTTGCCAGCATTATTGGCATAGGTCTATATATATATATATATATATATGGGGATACTCCTTCGAAAAAAAACGGGTCTTCATGATAGATTTTAAATACCTTGGATATTTAATCCAAATAACTAAGCGAAAGACGAAACAACCCGGATAATGGTAGTTAGAAATGCATTGTTTTGGTTGGAAAATTTTTATGGAGCCATCGCGAAATACCATAAAGACGAAAGTTCACGTTCATATAGCCGCAGTTTCGATGTTGCTATATGGCTGCGAAACATGGCCAATGAAAGTGGAAGGTATTAAAAAGCTATCAGCCTTTGACCACAATATCTAAGATACGGGACCACCGAGCAGATAAAATTGCCCAAGATTGTATCCATTTTTGGTTAAATACCACTGTTATTACAGATCGTTGCCTTCGCTGGTTAGACACGTTCTCCGTCATCCACCACAGCAATTGACGTATATTTCGATACTTGCCGAATCCTGTAATGATTGGTGTCAAAAGCGAGGAGGACAATCAGGACCTAGATTGATACAGTCAGGAAAGATTTCGTATAGGGGGATCAGTGATATATGGACTTAGACGATGGAAAAAGGAATGGTTTCTATTACTATTAGCGATGGCGTTGGACGGGACAGCTTGAAGTTTTACCTAATGATGAGAGTCGTTAGAAAAAATTACGGAAACATAACAAGTCGAGTTTTGAGATGAGTTCTGCCATTGCTTAAATCGAATCTTTTTATTAATATTTAAATAGATCGTGATATATAAAATGGTTCAAGAATTGTTTTAATCTATCGCAGATAAAAAATATGAATCTTGGTTGTTTTTTTTAACTCCCTTTTTTTTCTTCTAACAGCTCTCACCATTACTGGTTAGGCTGGCTCCATTGGCTATAAGAATAAGACATTTCCAAGTGACGCGGTCTGATGTCATCGTAATAATAGAAACTTCTTTCCATCTGAGTTCATATAACGCTGGTCCACCTATAATTCAAAATCTTTCCTGACTGTATCAGTCCAGGTTCTGATTGGACCACTCGCTTTTAACGCCACTCATCACTAGGTTTAGCAAATAACGAAATATGTGTCAACTCTTCTGGTGGGTGTCAAAAAACGTTTCCTAACCAGTGAAGGGCGACGTTCTGCGATGGTACTGTTAATGCTAGTGGTATTTGAAGAAGGTGGATGCGATCATGTGCGATTTTATCTGCTAGGTGGATCTGCAAAATATCTTAGATATGACTGGTCAAAGACTGATAGCTTCTTAATATCCTCCACTCTCATTGGCAAAGTCTCGTATATAGTAAGGTCACGTATATAGATGCGAATTGTCATTTTTATGGTGGTTTCATGATGGCTCCATAAAAGTTTCGTCAAGCGGATGCGATAATCAGGCTTATAATATCGTCTTTTGCCTGACCATTCGGTATTAAAGTGGATCCAAGGTGTTTAAAGTTGCAAACTTCTTCAACCAGAAATAAATTTATAAAAATAGGTATTTTATCAGCATCTTTTAAATAAGACGAAAAGATTTTCGCTTTATTTACATTGATCCTAAGTCCAATTCTCGCTGTAGTTGTCGACACATTTTTTAGCATTATTTGTTAGTTGAAGCTTTGCTCCAGTCATCTGGTGAAATATCCATACCAGAAAAAATATTTGTTGAAGATGCGTTATGAAGGACGATGGACAACATTTGAAGAGTTCAGCCCGAAGACCATCTTTTCCTGGAGTCTTATTGGCCTTAAGGATTATAGAGATTATTTCCTTTTCTATTGGCACAAGCATAGGGTTCGACGAACTATCAGCTATATCCGGGAGTAACAAGGTTAAGTTTGGCCTCAAATTTTCCATTTCCATCTTATGAGGCAGTTCTTAATGCTTTTAACAGGTACACCATTGTTATCTTTTACCATTTCACTAATCGTTTCCCGAGTTGTAGTTGCTTTATGAATAGTTTCCTATTATCGTCTAATCGACGTCTCCATTCTCAAGGCCATTTAGCTCCTTATTTCCTTTATGTTTTCTAAATTTCATTAACGCTCACCAAAACCCAACTAGCCTTTCGAAATTCGCTGTACCTCCTTAAAATTCCCTCATACAGTTCATTAAGTTTAAAGTGCCAATAAAAGAGAACGATAAAAATTCAAGCAAAATTTTTGATAATAAGAAATTTGTTTGTGATGATAAAAATAGTAATAAAATAATAATTTCATAACGATTATCATTATGATATTACATAGATTTACAAATATTTTTCAGTTATTTCGGTTAAATATCAATCAAAAATTATACCTTTTCTCTCATTTTCTACAAATGTAATTCCGTCGGTGGTTTCATCGGTGGCTAAGATGGCTGAATATTACTGAGAATGGCTCAAATTCGAATCCGGCCGACGCATCACGCTTCATCAGGTACTTATCGCCTGGACGAAAGAAAATGTGGTTAGAATGGCTCAATGAGTTGTTGAATAGCTGGAAGCGCCGATGCTAAGGTTCTATCCGACATAAATCCATACTTCAGAAATCCAGGTAATGTCGGCGATTTACTTTTATCACCGAATGATTGGTAAAATTTGTCTGGTCTGGCAAGCCTGCAGAGCCTAACCAGTAGATTTTGTCGTGTGTATGTTGCACGAAGAGCCTACATCACTGTTTCCCGCTTATTGCCATTGAATGTACCCGTGTATTTTATCCTAAAATTTTCGTTTCTCTGCGCCATTATGGGCTTTTTACCATATTCAGTATAAATATCATTCGATTCATCTAGATTTCCTAATATTTTTCTTCTTAATTGGATGAACTGAAAAATCGCAAATTCCTGGATAATAAGGCAGAAAAAATGACTCTTATGGCAGCGTTATAATAAGATTACAATCATATAACGGATCCAATCTTCGATAGGAGTAAACTTTTAAGTGTCATTGTCCGGATGCTCACGGAGTTTTCGAAATTTCTCGAGTGTATTCCACAATCTTCTAAGATTTTCCTTCAAATTTTTAGTTTGAACGATAGATAACTGTACATTCTTACTTATTGTATGACAGAGATAATCACTGGGCGATGGAGGCATTCTCGCTTGCTGCGGCAGCTATGGCTAACTGGTGTGTTGCTTCACAACGCCACCATCGAATCTTCTGACCTCTGCCCTCTGCCCTTCTCAGACATTTGTCGTAAAAAATTCTAAAAATTAACTTGTACTTCTCCCCTAAGTGAGGGTCTCACCATGTAGCGAAGAGGGTCTCACCACAACATTCAGTGAAGCAGAAAAGATTAATGTCTGGGAAAAGAAAGAACCACAGCACGTTTCGCAACAAACCTTGCAACAAAAGAACACACCAAAGAGAAAACACTACGTCCGCGATTTTTACAGCAGCCGTTTAATAACTAATTATCGGTTGGTATAAATCAAATATGAACCTGGCGAAGTTCGAGGAACAATTGTGGAGAGTGGCATATTTAGTTGGTTAATCGAAATAATCAACCGATGGGAAGGGGGCATAAGTGGAGAAATTCTTTATTAATTTTAATTTCGTTGTTTTTCTTATAAAAAAGCGAAAAGAAGGAGAGAAGTGGTTGTTTGATTGTGGGAATATTTTTATCATTTCCAGCACGTTTTGCTTCGAATGCATTCAGGTTGCGCGTTCGAGTTCCACTAACGAAGATCCAGCGATCCACTTCTCCTCATTATCAGTGATTCCGGTTGATTAGCATTACCAATTAAGCGATATATTCATTTTTTTATCTGATCACAATGAATTATTTTAGGTACAACCGAGAATGTTTCAACAGCAAGAATTTGCGACTGTAATCAGTCAGAATTTGCAAGGTTAACTGGTTTTACTACTTTTCAATTTGGTGTTTCTCGCACTAACTTTTGGATAACCACTTAGGGAAGGAGTTAGGAATCACGGATGGATCATTAGCAGCTGGGATTTCATCCCTAATTTTAGGTTTCTCACTTCGTTCGTCAGGGCTTTTGCCTATTCCTATACTCTTGCCAGAGGCATTTAAATCTTTTCAGTAATTGGTAGCTCAATGAAAGCACTGAAATTATTCCAGTATTAGCAAATGAAAAATTGGCCGAATTTCTCAATTTCTGTTTGGTCATAAATCACGTCAAAAATTTCCCATGAATGTAGTACTTGACCGATTATTTAACGATAGTTTACTTTTAGAGGGAAAAGAACTTTTTTCTGCCGAATGTCAGTTATAAAATTATATATTTGCGCAAATAATTGAAGTAAAAAACGATTTGTTTTCATCTAACTTTAATCGACATAAAAGAAGCAAAACCGCACTGGCGAGGATAGACGGAGGAAAGAGGACACTGGGAGAGAGAAGAACGGCTTAGTGTGGTCATTTGTTGCGAACTGTTTAAAAAGATCCACCTCGTGACTGCAGCAGAATTATCTTCAAACTCATATGACTTCTTGACTTTGCGATTTTGAATGCAGCAGAGCGAGAAAGAAACCAAGAAGAAAACGATCAAGCAAACATTTCTCTCGACCTCTGGCAGACACTGCTGCGCCATGTGGATCAAAGAACCGAATGACACCAAAAACTTAAAATCTCCTTACTTAATGAACAACATATCGACTAAAATTGCCGATAACAATGGGTTATTTTCAGGTAATGGCGCCGACATGTTAAAAGATATTTCCATTACATTGCCGTTGAAACGTACCACTCCAGTAATACAACACACCAGTAGTATACCTCCACAGTTGCATCCTTTTCCGCAACCTGCAATTACAATTGTTACTCCATGTCTCGACAGTGCCATTAATTCTGATAGTCCAGCAGTGTCTGCGTATGAATCGAAATTGATTAATGGTAATGTTCCAATGGAACCAATAGTAGAGCGAGATGACGCTATTAGTTTTGTTAAAAGTGGACAACAGAAACCCATCGCAATAGGTTTAAGCGAAATTAAGGATCAACTCGACAGACTGGAAGAAAACAAAAACAGTGGTGGTATGTTGAGTTGGATTCAAAACACAGTTAAACAGTCAAATTTTTTGTCGGAAGTCGCCAATAAAGCCAAGGTTTTTTTTTCAAATAAATAGAAAGCAAAAGAAAGCAAACTACTTTGTATTGTTATTTTTCTAACAAGATGCTGGTATTTACCAAATATCCATAGTAAAGTAACCATGGCTTGTTTTCCTTCCTTCTTCTTTTTATCTGTTTTCTGTTTCATCCATTCTTATGGTTTTTCCCTGATCAATAAGTAAATATTACATATTTTAATATTATTATTATATTACATACATTATATTATATTACATAATATTACATACTGCATTATACTGGTTACTAATATTACATACATGTATTTGATAAATGTTATAAGACCAAATGATCGAAGCAAATTTTCGTAAATGTTCATAAGTGAACTTTTTCAATTCTTATAATGCTGTACTATATTTTAGATTGGTATGGGTTCAGTGTTAACTACACTTGATCCTGGAATGAAGGATTTTTTTAAAATCGAAAATGCATTAGAGGTGGTTATTTTTAATGATAATCATCGTATTGTATCTGCTGTTGTTGATGGTTTTCGTCGAGTTTTTAGTGGACTAAATTATCAAATGATTGGAACATCAGATATTGATAAATTTAAGCCTCAGGTCGTTGGATATGAATTGGCACATAAAGTTAATTAGTTCTTAATTATTCAATAATGCTTTTGATAATTACTTTTCAGTAATGAAGCTGAGTCGTTTTCATTTATAATCATAATTATCAATTTAAAATTATCATCTAATGGAATAATTTTTCAGTACATTGATGAGCGGTTATTTAACATATCAAATAGTGGATTTGTTATTAGTGATATAACAATTGTTGTAATACAGCCTTTTCTTCATTTTATTAAAGGAAAATGGTACGATTCTTCAATAATCGCTGCGCAGGTATTTTCATTTTTAAATTCATTTCAAATCTTCGTTTTTTTCGTGTAAATTTTTTAGATGTTTAAGCCTCTTATCTTTTATTGTTTTTTGTTTAAGAAAAGTGAGATAAAACATCATGTATATACGCAGCCAGTTCCAGTGAGCGACAAAGTTATTACAGCCTTAAAAGTTTGTTTTTCTTCTAAATTTGTAATGCGATTTTAAAATCCACCCTGATTCAATTTTCTTAATCAAAGTAAAATAAGCCAGATGTCAGTTATATTTAATTCTATCTTAAATGTAGACAGCGGAATCATATTCTGGAATTGGATTTGCCTTTTTTAATGTTTGATATGTGATCTTCTGATACGTGTGTGTTATTTGAGCATTTTATTTTATCTTTTCTTGTACTTCTTCCTTGTCTGTTTTTTTCTATCGCTGATTTCCATTTTTCTCACCTGTTCTGCCTTCTGCATTATCTCGCAATTTTTTCTTTCACCTCAATTTTCCTTTCCTTACACTTTTTCTTCATCAATAACAGTTCTGGTAACAGTTCATAAAACTGATAGTTTTTTGCCGTTTTTCATTCTTCATGTTGTATATAATGTAATATTGTATTTGCAGGCCCATACACCACTCGATTATGAATTGAATGCTTTTACAACAACAGTGGGTAATGGTTATGGGGAAGTTTTTGGTGTCGATCCTGATGATTGGCAATATAATATTCTTTCATTTTCATCGTCCGAATTGTATACAATGGCCTCAACAGTTTTAGCTTCATTATTGAAACAATCATAGAAATGAAAATTTATTTTGGCGACTTATCGTTGTCATTTTTTGGATTGATTATTTCCTAGATATTTTAAAAATACTTTTTATATTAAATATATTTTTTGTATTAATTGGTAATAGATGAATATAAAATGATAAATGATTAATTGTTTTTAGTAAGATTATATGAGATTTCCAAACAAACAATACCGATGAAAAATATTTCATTAAATTTCGAAATTTACCCATTAAGTTTTTTTATTCCTATTTGTTCCTATTTTTTATACATTTTATTCCTATTTATGCAGTAGTATTTATTAAATTTTCGATTAAATTTAAGATGCTAAATATTGTTGAAATCAATATTGAAATTTTAGAGTAACAACGCAAAATATGAAATAAGTTTTTAGATTCTCAAAGAAGAATAAAAGTACTTTCGCATGCTTAATAAAAATTGCTACTTATAAATCTTCATATGCTAAAAGACCGTTTCTGTTTATTATTTAGCTTCACTGATTCACATGGAAATAAGACCCAGGATGCGAAGTCTTCGCCAGTGAATCACTTTGGGATAGAAGTACAAATGAACTCTCAACTTCTCCCGACATTGCTTGCAATATCAGAAATATAGAATTAAATATTTTTCTAATTTTCGCATTTTCGGGTGATCCATCCAATTTCATTAAATAAAAAATCTACAAGTATGAGGAGTGTATTTTTGAATTCCGCATACATTATTTCTTTAAAAATGTTTCTATAGCAGTCATTGTTTCTGAGTTTGGCTTTCTCCACTGCAATCAGGGTGAAGAAATTACATGATTATTAGGGCGCGTGGTGTTTTAGCCAAAGCTTTACTCAGAGATAGAGGCGCGGGCGAGTTCCACAGCACCATACTTCTATTAGAGTGCAGAACCACGATGTTTGGAAAGAAAAGATAATCTAATCAATTCGCACTCGTACGATATTATTTCGGCTTAGAAAAACGGCCGTAAATATTGCAAAAAAAAAATTCGAAATGAAATCAAAAGATTGTTTCATAAATAATTCAGCGAATTTGGCCTTTGAAAGAACATTTCATCGAAAAAAACGGTAGCAAATAATTATTATTCCATTAAAAAAACAAAAATTTGAAAAGAATTCCACTTTTCTTGGTGATTTAATTCTCATATTTAATGTACATTGGTGTTGAATAATTGTTTAATAGCATTTTGCTTTTCACTGGAATTTTTTGCGATAAACTGAAATTTGATAAAATTTTGGAGATAAATTATAGAAATTGATTGTAAAAATTTTGGGAATGGAACAATGAAAACGATAGGAGTAATTGTTTTTCATTTCTATTTTTTTCATTTTTATCATTGATTGAAATTAGAGAAAGGCGGAATTCGGGAGTAGAAAAGGGATTCTGGATTCAAGGAATCATTAGAATACAAGGAAAGAGTTGGCCATTTGATTTATTATCCAGTGGGTTGCTGCTGTTTTAGAGGGCAGAATGGATCAGTGGGTTGTCGTTCAATTCGAAGCGCCGTTCTACGTCCGGGTAAGCCTGTCCGAGTGATGCTGGCTATTCACCTGTACTGCCATCGCCAAGTGACAAAATTTGGTCTGACAAGTGCTTTTAACCAGTAAATGTGGTGAGTGCCCTTAAAAAGAATTCGTTAAATAATCAATTAATTAATTTGTCTTTAATTAATGGACTAAATGAGTACACGAAATCGAAGAGATCTCGAGAATCGAGAACTTGAAGCTTTGGCTCAATTTCTTCCATTAGCAGACGCAATCACTGCACAGTTAGACAAGGTTTTTTTTTCTTCACAAATTTTTCAAAGAATTCTTTAAGATAAACTTAAATTGTGATATGATATTTAATAATAATAGTAATAATAATAATATTAATAATAATAAAATAGTAGCAAAATAATAATAATAAAATAATAATAATAACAGTAAATAATAATAAATTAAACTTAAAACTAAAAATTTGCAATGCTTTAAAAGATTTTTGCTTCATTTTTTTATTTTAGAAATTTATTTTATTCATATTTTATTTTAGAAATTTCATATATGTCGATTAACTCTATTCCAACTATAAATGGATAAATAATTAAGGCATCAGTTGTAAGGCTGACATGCGCATATCTCGCACTAAGACGTATATTTCCTGAATTACCAGAACGAAGGGAACAATTATCAGAGATCGGATCATTCCTACTGCAAACCCTTGATGGCTTTGTATTATTTCTTGATCCAGAAGGCAAAATGATGTATGTCTCAGAAACCGCATCGGTGCATTTGGGTTTGTCGCAGGTTGATTCGAATTTTGTCTATATTTGACCGTTTTTCGGGACAATCTTTTTGTTCCACGAGAGAAGCTTTGAAGTATAATTTCCCAAAATTAATCAAAAGCAATTTCCTCTTTATTTTATCTTTAAATTGATTATTTTATTTCAATTGTTTATTATATTTTATTTATTATTATTATTTATTATTATTATTATTTTTATTATTATTTTTTGTTTTTGTCATTAATTCTTATTATTTGTTATATTAACTGTTGTTATTAATATAAGCACATGGCGTTTGCGCCCTGCTTGGCTGGGTTTTCAATAAATAAATAAAAGCGAAGTCGCATTAGTGAATGTTCAGGTTGAACTGATAGGATCTTCGATATTTGATTTCTTGCATCCTGATGACGAAGCCGAATTGCTTTTTCTCCTTTCTGCTGTCGATTCTAAGCGTGTTATTTATGAAGTACCATATATGGAAGAAATCGAAAGAATGTTTTTTATTCGAATGCGATGCGTGCTTCCCAAACGAAATGCTGGTATAACTTACAGTGGCTACAAGGTTTGATTAAGCAAAAAGATTCCAGTCAAACTTTTTACTATTTATTTTCGTAACAAATTTGCCTGAAAAATGAAGCAAGAATTCCACTCGATAAATCCATTCATAGAACAACACAACGTTGCCGTGAAGCTAAACAGTTACAACTTTGTGACAGAAGTTATGTAAAAGTATTTTTTTTTTTGAAAGAGTCATCATCATTAGTGGTTCGACTCACTCCACTGGCTTGTCGCATTGGACCATAAGCCAGGGAGTCCCTTGGCGATAGAAATAGAGATGAGTCGCCAGCGTCACTCGGATTTTTGTACAGGTTTACTCCAGCAAGGAATCGAATCTCAGTATCGGCGCTCCCAATTGACCAACAAACCGCTGCGCCATTCTATCCCCAGTATAAAAATATTATGCAAATATGAAGGAAAATATTTAAAATAAAAAATTTGCTTCATTCCTTTGTTATTCAAATAAATGAAGTTGCTTTGGATGGTGCTGGGGTTTTAATCATTTAACCAAGTGTTTTAATCATTAAGGCCATTCGAACCAAAAATAATGAGCAGTTTTAAAGAAATGTGTTATTACAATGTAACTTTATTGCAGTATAAGTTTAAGTTTTATTTATTATTACGATATAAACTTTTTTTGCTTTTTTTTACTAAGTCAATATTTTTATTACTTCAAGCATTAAATTTACTGGTAAATCTTTAAAGAAATTTAGACAATAAGCTGTTGGGGTTACTCGAAAATACAGCATGATAAATTTGGAAGCATGAATCTTGGTGTAATGGCAGTCGGATATATGCTTAGCAGAAGCGGTGTCACCGAAATTAAACTTCCTTCATCAACTTTTATGTTTCGCGCTCGTCTTGACTTCAGTATAATTTTTATGGATACCAGGTATCGCAGCCAGTTCCCCAATGTTTTCGGACTACACTTTTTTTGAACAATTGGATTTCATACTATTTAATTTTGTAGAATTACCGCGCTAACCGATTTCAATGCATCCTACCTTCTAGAGAAATCATTTTATCAAATTGTAATGTTAGAAGATACTTATATTATCGAAAAAGCTCACAGAATTTGTAAGTAAATTATTGAATTACATCGGTTTATTAACGTCATGCAAATGAATAATTAGCCGATATTTGAATTTATAAAGTCAAATAAATTTATCCAACAAAAAATGACGTTATCACGTTATTTTTGATATTTCAGTACTCAACAAGAATCAGTCAACCACAGGTTATTATAGAATATTATATCGAGACAAAGGTTATGTTTGGGCTCAAAGTCAATTTTGCATCGTACCAATGAGGAGGGCAACAATTACGCATTGTATTGTTGCAGTGACGGAGATATTTAGGTTTGTTATACGTAAATCTCCTACTTTAGGAAAATTCTTACCACGCAACATGATGAAAGTAAATTCTCAGGTTTCGGCATTAAATCCTTCGCTGATCCACGTATTTACATTTTAGCTAGCGTGCGTCAAAAAATATTTGAGAATCCAAGCAAAATCCTCCACCTACCCTTTATTATTTAAAGATTTAAAATATGCCAAATTTACAGTGAGCGCCAAAGTAATTTAACCTACAGTTATATACAACAAAATGCGGCCGGAAATAAAAGTACTGCAAGTAACTGCACCCTGGGCGAATATTCAAAAGCATTTTACAAAGGTGCTCTACTATCAGCCAACCAATTTGGTCGCGACAAATTAAAACATATATCGAAATAAATTGGAACTACTAGAATATCCAACTATGATTCCTCTTTGTAAACTATTGTACTATTGTATTTTAATATATCGGAAGCGAAACAGAAAACTGAAATAACATTGGTAACCTACGATTATATTTGGAATAAACTTTATTTATAAAAACAACTTCTATTAAGAAATTGTAAAAAAATTGAAATTCAAATTTATTTATATTATGTTCAATTTTATATTTAACTCAGTTAAATAAGTGAGGACAATTTAAAAATAACATTTTCGAAATTTTTGAGAAATATGTTATTCAATGAAAATATAATGTTATATCGTAATATCGAATCTTACATATATGAAAGAACCTTATATTGCAATATTTTCCTTAAAGAAATCCTTCAAGCTAAGAAAATTTTTCGGTGCAAATCATTTACATCAAAGAAGATAATAAAATACCTTAAATCATATGAATAACAATAGCATGAATCTGGATTTGAAAATACAAGTGCAGATTAACGTACATGGCATTTGAGTGAATGTGGATGCAATTTTTGAAATACTACCAGCTCGGTGGACATAAAATGAAAAATAAAAAATACTTTAGGCATAAGCGATCAACTGATATATTCCACTGTAACTGCTCATTCCGCAGCTAAATAACAAGACTTTGTGCACTGCAACCAGAAAGATTCGAACTTTCATAGTAGATTTCACGATGATTCTAAAAGTTTCATCAGATGTGAGAAATCTTTTCTAGCGCCAGCAGGAGATAGAACTTTGCTTATATTGGCAACTGGATTTTATCTTTTTTTTAACTGATTAGATTTTGATCCGCAAATGTTATTTATTAGCAAAGTAAGCTGATTATGCGGAAATGATGACCAAAACAACGCGATAAATATCACGGAGAGTGCCAAAGGAATATCAAGGAAACCCGGTTTGCCAATTTCAGGCATTATATACTCTCTCATAACAGTACATTAACAGCAATTTTTATTCTCAGTTTGCTGCAGAAAAAGTAGATCATTTGGATAAGGAACGAAATTATGGGGTTGAGATGATATACATACAACCAACACAAGACCAATACAATGATCTAGTCGCGGATCACATTTCTAATCTCTCGTTAAGCCCTGAGCTAAGGCACATTAAGAAAAATGATAATGTGAGATGATAAAATAAATAATGGTGCATTTGAACTGTCTGCCTGTATATTTGGACCTGGAATGAACAAACGATAAGAATAAAAATCTACCTCGCCTCCAGTTCATAACTTGAGTTGTCAAGGATGCTTCACATTGTGATCGAATATATAGAGGTACATATATATAGAGGAATATATAGAGGAATATAATATAGAGAATATATAAATATATAGAAAAAACAGATAATAGTGAACAGATAAAAGACATAGGTTAAATAATCGTTATAAACCCCTGAGTATTCTTTATTTTTTATAATACAAGAAATTTTTCAAAAAATTTTCTGAGAAATTTTTTTCGTTTTTTCATTTTTTTGCTGGCATACCAAGCCTTTTTTACTAGAAAAAAGATAACCTTGCATGATTTCATCTAGCTTATGCAAAAATTACATTAAAATTAAATTAAAATTCAACTTAATCTGAAAAATTGTAAATCAAACGAAATCAGTCAATCATAAATAGTCGCGAAGAAATATCTGAACATAGCCAATCGATAGCTTCAACCAAATTTTGTCCAGTCACTGCACTACATGGAAAAATATTCCAATGATGTGACTTCAGATTACGCAATTCTAACAGCTAAAAAAACACTTTGAAGTGCTCATCAGCAAAAAGAGGAAAGCTAAACTAATTAGTGATTTATCGATATATTAACATTAAAAACCAAACACAGTACCTCTTTAATTTCTTCTGATTTTGCTCCAGATGGTAGATCTTGCTTATTGGCCAAAATAAGTAATGATGCACCACATAAACGTTCTTCCTGCTAAAGTATATTATGATGAAAATCCATACAATTAACAATTAAGATGCTTACTTGCTCAATTAACAAAATAAAATGGCTTGAAAAAATAAAAAAAAATACTATGAAAATATCTTTTCAAAATAACCCAAAAAATCACATAAAAAATAAATAGAAAACTAACCAATAAAGTGGAAAGTTCACGTTTGCAATCATCAACACGATCAAAATCTGCTGAATCCACAACCCAAATAATACCATCCGTTTGTTCAAAATAATTTCTCCAGTATGAACGCAAACTTTTTTGCCCACCAACATCCCACATATTTAACTTATAATATTTGTATTCCAAGGTTTTGATGTTAAAACCTTCAAATTTGCAAAACATTCTGAATTATCACAGTATGATAAAATCAGATCCCGAGTAATGTGTTGCTTGTAGATCACAAGTTAAGCATCATTGTCTCACCTTATCCTTTAATGGAAATAAAAACTATTAATAAAAACGAAATTCGGGCGGTGTTCTATGCACACATCTATTCCTATGAGGCCTATGATGGATTGCTTTCACCACAATGGACATTGGCACTATCCAAACCAGAAATGGAGCCCCATAAGAAGACTTATATTCACGAAAAAACGAAACCAGAATCAAGAAACATGCAACAATAAACTTACCAAGAGTAGGTGAAACTTCATAAATATCTTCACCATTCAATTTTTTGAGTATTGTTGTCTTGCCTCCGTTATCCAAACCGAGAATAAGTACTCTTAATTCCTTTTCTTTTAATCGCTGCTTTCGAATAATTGTTAGCAACCCCATCCAAAACTTAAAAAATTCCCGTATAAAAAAAAAGACAAACGGCTTCTATACAAAATTCAAACATTCTGTTTTGTAATAATAATAAGACTAAACCTTCAAAAGAATTCATTATTAATAACGAATAACATTTTATTAATAAAAATAAATAACAATCACTTCATCAGCAAATATTCAATTTAATTTTGCAAAAAATCAGAGCACACAGCGCATAAAAACCCAGCCATTTCCTGGTTTGATCCACCAGAAATTTAAGAAAGAATTTAAAAATGAACAAATTTCCATTTCACACAGCAGGCTTATATGTTCAATATAAATTTTGATAATAAAACCCATTATAAATGAATAAACGCAACTTGACAATGATAAATTGTATTGGTTTTCTAAATAAGCGTTAAAATCAATTAAAAATTTTTCCCATAATACCAAACGACATTTTTTGAAAGGCATTCACCATTTCTGATTCCAGACTAATCTTATTAGGCAATCATGGATAACCCGGTGGTCGCCTCCTCACCTTGGTGGTTTTTAAACTAGTCGTTTATTTCTGTTGGCAGCAAATCCACCATGGGCATCTCGGAGAGTAAAAAACCACTGAGCTATCTTTCATCCTCTTCCCCACCATTCCTCAATAGCAAACAATTTGCAAAAAGCAATGACGATAATGGTGCATGAAATGAAAGAAATGAAGATAATGTAGCAATATTATCAAAGGAAATATAGCATGATGCAAGAAAAATTGAAAGTGGTGAAAACAGGTTTCAAGCTTTAAAATGTTATGAGATATGAAAGAATTTTTGTTGTTGAATTATAGCCTGCCCTGAAAAAAGGATAATAAAAGCATAAAAGCATTCACCTTCCCCCAAATCGAGTTGCATCTATTCTCTCTAAACCCACTACATCGCCTGAAAAGCCCCTTTATAATCATAATTTTTAAATTAAATATCCTTATATCTCTCCTCTCTCAAAACCTTGTTGTGCTTAAATTTTACATTATTTCCTCAATGTTATCCTGAAATTCAATTTTATTCTCGTTATGTATTTTGATATTCTCCAAATTCTTCATATCCTTTCGTACTTCCTCAAAATTTCTATGGACAAAATGCAGACGGAAATGCTGCGGAATTGCGATTCTCATCAATTTCACTGAACAATTTCGTCGTACATTACTCTAGTATTTTACTAAATCTTTTCAACTTCCCTCATATTTCCTTTATCTTTTTCTGTCGCTTCTCCAAATTTCATTATATTAAATCTCTTATAATCCCTCAAACCCCTTAGGTCCAATAAAGCAGTGTTATTGAATTTTTCGCTGGTTCACAAACAATTTATTATTCAACGAAATATTAACACTTTAAAAAAAATTTCGCAGAAATTCTAGGCTACTGATCCATTCGATCAAACTCAAATGTTGTAAAATAATTGCAATATTTTCAGTTCGTTGGCCTGAAAATATCATTTATCAACAGGAATTATTGAATATCCTGCAACACGTTCTGACCAAATTTCGCATTTATCTTCTTTCCTTGGAAGTTTCTTTAAAAAATAGTAGTCGGTTTGCAAGGACTGATTAGAATGTGTGGGATAGAACACAGTTCATTCAACTTCTGTAGTATTGGTAACCTCTTTTTGGTGCAAATTCAGCTCTGGGAAGTGTTTAGGAGTTTTATCTCAATAATGATTTTCATACATCAAAATTTTCTTGTTAATTCTATCGTGATATGAAAAATTTAACGAAGGAGAACTTTTACCTTGTCCATTCAACTTTTAACACAAGATGATCAAGTTTATAGCCATTTAGTTTTTGAATTGCAGCTTCTGCTTGACTTCTCAATTCAAAAGTCACAAAAGCGAAACCTTTCGGTTTATTCGTATGCTTGTCTTTTGCAATAAATACTCGGATAACACTACCAGCTTGCGAAAATAATGCCCGCAATTCCTGAATTAAAGTGATGCATACATAATAACCATTAAAGTTACTTGTTTCTGTAGATTTAATATTTAGAAAAAAAACATTACAAATTATATTGTGCACCTCTCTAGATAAAACTTTGAAAAAGAATTTTCTGCGTAAATTTACAGATAAATCGAAAAATGTGAAAATCTTAATAAAAAAAGCAGAATTAAAAAATAGAAAAAAAATTCAAAACATAAATTCAAAAATTTCCTATTCAAGAAATACCGTTTCATCACATTCCTCAGGAAGGTTAGTCACTCTACATGTGTTCTCTTCTGAACGCCGTTCACCAGTTCCGGCGGAACGATCACCCCGCATGCCTGGCGCCACGTACTTACCTCCAGAACCAGCTGTTGCTGAAATAATAATTCAAATAGGAAACTTCGAAAAATGACAAAAAGAAATAAAAAAACAAGAAGCCTTGTAATATCTTACGAGTCAACCCCGATTTCGAATCCTTCTCCTTTCCTTCGGTGTCATCGGTATCTTCTCTTGCATACATCGATTTATATGGACAACTCACAGACCAGTGGTCATCTGCCTGAAAAAATTTAATTTGAGAAATAAAAATATCCCATGAAATTATATCAACAACAATTTCCACTGCATTAAATTCAAAACATCACGAAAATGATTTAATTAAGGTATGTCAAAATATTATATAAACTAATATTACCTTGCAGTAACGACAGTGGGTAAATGAAGAACCCATAACAGAATTCACTTTCGGTCCCTCTTCACCCACATCAAGTTGCTGCTGAAATTTAATAGAATTTTTTATGATATTCTGACTTTCCTATAAGCAGAAAACTCAAACTTAATAATTCAATCGCACAAAATGTCAAAAATATATGAAAAAATAAAAATGACTTCTCCATAACGATTTCGAATAAACTGCATTTTAACTTCTTCTGCAACATATGTTGTTGATACATGCGGACCAGGACCGTCATTCTTACAAGCACCAAATTTCACCCATTTTTTTCTTTCAGCCACAGGCCTTGGTACTTTTTTCGTAATAACTTTGAAGGTTGTTATAACCTGAAAAATAAATATCACAAATATTAAAATCAAGAATTTTTAAAAAAGCTGAAAAGTAAGAAAAATTGAAAAGAAAGATCTTTTCAGAAAAGGTTACTTTATATTTTCCAGTTTCATCAGTTATATTGTCTGTGACAGTTTTGATGCCATCTTTTGTTGTTTCTTGACGAAAAGAAGCTGAAAAAAATCCTTTGAAAAAGAATTTTCTGAGTAAATTTACAGATAAATCGAAAAATGTGAAAATCTTAATACAAAAACCAGAATTAAAGAATAGAAAAAAGATTAGAACATAACCAACTTGCTTGCTCAACAGCTTCAGCCCAACTTCCAATAGTAGATGGTGCTGCCCTGGAACCAAATCATTTTCATAAATACTATTAAATAATTTAAAATACAGAAGAAACAGCAATGGACATGGGGTGAGAATGCCGTATATTGCTTCAGCTGAAGTCATGTCTCATAAATTTGGCTCCTGTCCTTCAAAGAGACGAGACCCCCACCCCGATAAGAGTACGGTGGGGAAAAATTTCTTCTTCCATCTGTGTAATTCTCTGGCAAAAGGGTCTCACTCTGATAATCGATAAAACCGGACAATAAATTAGAAATGGTGGCTGCCGTCAGAAGCTCAATCACTAAAGCCGTTTATGATATGATAATAAATAGCTAATGCAAATGCACAAATGCACTACAAGTATTGTTAAGATAAACTAACAGATTTGGTAACTGAGAAGTCACCAAAGCGCTTGTCATACCGTTTGAATGGATCGAATTTAAATCGAGTCTAAAAATATCAGCAGAAAGAATAAAAAAATCATAGACGCAAAAAATTTCTTACAATGAGAAAAAAATTTGTGGTTTTCATGTCTAATGGAAACCATAGCAAAAACCACTGCATTAGCAAAAAATTATCCCTCCCCAGCATAAAGAAGGAAAATTTATTTTAAGCCGTCACCACCTGACATCACCCCCAAGACACCGCTACAACCCAACCAGGAATGGCGAGTGCCACCCATCACCATTGATTTTGAAAATAACGGAAATACCAGGAATCAATTACAGAAATCATGGCTGTTTAAAAAAGATTTTAAGACCAAAATTCATTTGTTGCAGCATAATATTATGGTGTTTTTCTAACAAAAATTTTAGGAAAGTACCATTGGTGCGAATATAAATTGGTGCTTTTTTGAGGTGAGATTGGAGGTTAATGTGTAATGTGTCATATCAAAAATCAGCGAGTGATTACTTATTCGTAAGCAAAATAAAATCAGGGGCGGAAGAGTGTAATAAGCGAACTTTATTTTTGCACATATTTCACATAGAATTTCTACTAGTCGCTTGGACGTATTGCGATGAATCGATATCGGTCATAGTGTAGGTTCGACGGTAAGGTTCGCCGTGAAATGTTGACGTGGACGTGATTTTCAACATAAAATCCTTATTATAGTTTTCTGCAACGACGCACTCACTCACAATTAAGAAATTCATTTGCAAGCAATTGGTAAAGCGACGCTAACAGACCAAGTGAGGGCTGGAATAACTGAAATTCAGTCTGCTTCCACTCAGCAGTTCTCCTCTCTCTACGTCATCTGATCCACGTCAATAGCTCTTTAGTGACTTACATATGGCGGAATGACGTCATCTTATCTAGTTGAATGATCTAATCCATGCTTTTGATTGATTTGCATAAGAGTTACCGTTGCAACATTGTCAGTGTTCACTTACGCATGCATTAAGTACTCAGCTATTTATCTCAATAGAAATGTGTTAATGTTATTGAGTGAGTTATCGTTATTTTTAATGTTGTTACCAATTTTACATAATAATGAATATATATTGATTGGAGCGATAGGCTTATCACTTGATAAGGCGTTATCAATTACAGAGAATCAGAAAATATGATTCCACTTAGCAACGATTTATTCAAAAAATTATTTTACTTGATATGATACATGATGCTTAGTTTTATGTGATGCACAGTGCTCCTACATTTCCGTATTCTCCGTAGTGCATAACAAATGAGCTTTAACGAATAGAAGAGATTATGGATCGGTTCCCTTTCGCTGGACAAGTGCGGATTTTATTATTAAAAAAGCGAAGTCGGAATGATAATCCATTACTTGTGTCTCTGGCGGAGGATGGCAGTGTGCTAATGCTGAAAAACGAACCAAACCAGAAATACTGAATGATTAGAAAAAGAAGCGCAAACCTGGACGATGTCGATAGGGACTAGCAAGACGACGCCTAAAGATGAGATTATTGAGGGGAAGGCTGTCCGGAAAACCCACAAGTTCTTATATGCTGTTAAACTGTTATTTCTGCATATTCAGTGGTTATCAATGATTGTGTAATGCAAAGAAAAGGGTTGTGATTTTCGCATAGTCACCTAATTATTGTTTTTCTATCATTAAAATATTTAGATTTTCCAGAAACTGTTGAAGGAAAGGAATGCAGGAAATTCGTATAATTGTTCTGGAAATCGAGGATGACATATCATCAAGGATCATTCGACTTCGGCAAGGTTAGTGGCCTCCTTTCTTTGACCATTGCTGGATCGTACTTTTCTAAATTATTTCCATGATAAATACACCGAAATTTCCTACTTAATTTTTCGCTATTCAAAAATTATAATTTGCATTTGAAAAAAATCCCTTTCTCATCTTCTACAAAAGATTGCGCATTATTTTAGTTGCTCACAATTGTGCGCTCTTCTGGGCAGAGACTGATGTTGTTCGTGAAATTTGCTGAGGCCATTTTTTTAGTTTTGGGGATCACAGTTTCAAATGCTCCAATTATCAATGGAATTGCTTTGGCCTTTATTTTCGACAACTTCTCTAGTTCCTCTTTCATCTCTTAGTGTCTCTCTGACTTCTCATAATCATTCATCCTGGCATTCCTACCTCTTCATATCGCTATATCAGTTACCAGTTCTGATTTCTGATTCTGTCTGTTAACACGATATCTGGTTGATGGCCAGTTTGTCTGTCTGCATGGAGAAGTACCACAAGATCTTGGCCTTATTATTCTCTGCGATTTTCTAAGAAATTCTCATTTAGTCTTAGGGTAGTCTAAGCCATATACGGAGCAGATGTTCCTGTAGATGATGCCATCTACTTGCCTTTTAATTTATGTTGTTCTTATTTACATTTTACTGCGAATATGAGTTGGACTGTTTCTGGAGTGTTTTTGTACAATCTGCATCTAAAGGCTTGCCGTGCGGATAAAAAAATTATGGCTTCTAAGCTAAACCCTACAAATTTTATAGTTTTAATCCATTGGATCTAGTTATATTTATATTAATATTGAGGCATGGATTAGAATTTATAATCTATTTTAATGTGGCAGAATTTTGTAAATATATGTTAAGATCTGTTTGACTCTTCTTTTTTATTTTTTTTCTCGTTTTTCGTTTCATTAGAAGATTTATTTTTGGAAAATTATTTTGGAAAACTATTTTTTATTTCACTTATATTTTCGCAAATTCTCGCCAACACCACAAATATTGCAGGTTGGATTGTTCGGTTTGTAAAGGGTGCAAGTCTGCTTGGTCATGATATTAAACTTATAACATCAATCGCTGGTGAAATAAAGTGGACACAAAATTCTGATGAACTTGCATCTTTTGCTGAAATCGTTTGTCTTAAAGCTGGTGTTTTTACTTATAATGTGTATGAAAATGAGTAAGATAATCAATTGCTTTCTTTTATCGTTTGTGATAGTTCATTCCAATATTATTTGTTCATTAGCGATTATCTTATATAAGACTCGTGAAATCTCTTTTCCTTCATTCGTTTCCATTTACCCACAGTTGATTTTTGTGGATCAGATCAGATATATGCAAAATTTTAGCATTTATTAGATTTTATTTGCCTAAAATGCATATAGGAAACAATAAATATAGTAATTGAAAGCGGAAACGGTTAATTGAACGTTCGAATTCCTTCTCTGTAGGTTAATCTAACTTCTCATTAATTCGAATTGAACAGATGAATTAATTTATCGGACAGACTATTACAAAACAGTATAATAAAAATCAACTACTGGAGTTGAATTAATATCATATGATTTTTTCTGTCTTGATTTCGGTGAATATAAACGGGCGGATATGACGATGAACCATCCGCTAGATCTTTCATACTCTCTATTTTATTTTAGTTGACAGTAAAAGATGAGAATAAATAGTGATAAAGTAATTGTGATAAATAGTGATAAAAACAATTTCTCACCAGATATTTCTTACCATTAATTTAATCATTTTTTTTTTACTTTTTGTTTTATTCAAAATTTATTATTTTTATTTTTAATTTAATATTTTCGTTTTTTAAGATTATTTTTGGTTATAACACGTTCAAAAAATAATTTTTAGGCAACAATATGTTGAAGGATTTTTGCAAGTTTTGCCAGAATTAACATCTGCTGGACACCCATTACCGCTAGATGCAATAATATGTCAGACGTATATTGCCAAACTTCTTGGTCCACTAAGCGAATGGAAAGATCGTTTACGAATCGCAAAAGAAAGTGGATTTAATATGATTCATTTTTCTCCAGTTCAGGAACTTGGAAAATCAAATAGCAGGTAATCATTTAATTAACATAATTTATCCTTGAAGCAAGTTTTTTTTTAAAGAGTCCTCACCATTACTGGTTAAACTCGCTCCACTGGCTTGTGGCATTGGGCAATATGCCAGGGAGTCCCTTGGCGATAGAAATATAGGTGAGTCGCCAGCATCACCCGGATTTTTGTAAAGGTTTACTCCTGCAGGGAATCGAACTTCAGCATCGGCGCTCTCAATTGAGCGGCAACCCATTGAGCCATGTTATCTCACCCTTGAAGCAGATTTATTTAATATGGATCAGTTTAAAGGTCTATGATTATGTAAAAAAAAGTTTTCAATTTAAAAAGTAAATTTTTGCTGTGTAAGGCCTCATTTCAATTCCTTGATAAATATTTATTTCAGTTATTCATTGGCCAATCATTTAAAATTAAATCCAGCTTTTAATAATCAAGTATTTTTTATAAATTATCTTTTTTATTATATGTTGCTTGTCATTCCATTCATCACCTTACTTAATAATTTTAGGTTTTTTTGTATTTTATTGTATTTTGTATTTTTTATTTTTTTTATAATATTGTTTTTTTTCGTTTTTTATTCTTATTATTTAAAATATTTTTGTTTCCTAAATTAATTTTTAGGGTACAAATTACGTGATGAATGATCTTGCAAAGATTATTGGGGAAATTGAGCAGGAATGGGGTATACTTTCAATTCAAGACGTGGTGTGGAATCATGCAGCAAAAGATGCTTTATGGCTTCATGTAAGCACTTCTTTTATTTCATTAATTGCTGCTAAATATTAATAAAAATTTGCCATTACTGCTGTTATTATAAATATTTTTAATATTTCTTCTTTTAAAATACCATTACTAATTAGGTCCAAGCAAGGTTTTTCTAAACTGCTTCTAATGTTATAGCTGAGAAAATTAATCACCTTTTTCCACTGTTCTAAGATCCTTATATTGCATCCCCTATACCTTCAAAATCTCTTTTGAATGTGCCAGTCCAGATCTTTATTAGCTCTCCTCGTTTTTGGTACCATCTTTCACAGGGCTTAGCAAGTAGCAAGATTTGCTGCATTCTGCTATGGTCAATGGAGAACATGGCTTAATTGGCGTTGACGATGATCAGTGGGAATATCATTAACTTAAATGGCACGATAAAAGATGGATGAATTCATGTGAAATTTAATCCATTCGGTTCACAAAATGTTCTTTAAGCATATGCAGTTAAAGATAGACATTTTTTAAATATCTTCCACTGCCATTGGCCTTTTTTCGCAATAATATAATAAAACGGCAGGCATCATAACCAAATACATACGATCATTTATTTTTCGCCGCGATTCCATAGGTTGCGCCATACGATAGAATACACCTGTTGCTAAGATAATCCGCATGGCAAATTCATCTTTCTCTTAGCCGTTTAGTATACGAGTGGATTCAAGATATTTAAAGTCTCGCACTTCTTCAGCTACTAATTGTTTGATAAAGATAGGTATTTTATCAACTTTTGATATGTAATACGAAAAGCTTTTCGTCTTATTTACATTGAGTCCGACTTTTTTTCTTGCAGATGCATTGTATAGCATTGTTAATATTGGCATTATTTGCATTCCTTCATAATTGGAATGTCAATAATATGAGTATTCAAGATCTGTGGCACTCTTCTGTGGCTTGACTTGTCCATCTTTTGAATTCCGGTGTTCATGATACAAGTTATCGAATAGTAAAATAAGGGAAAAGAAAACAACCGCGGTGTACATTTCTTTCGAAAAAATTTCTTCTTCTCCACATATACATACGCTGATATAAGCTGGGAAAACGCTTTTATGAGTCAAATGATATGTGGAACACTGTCTTATTCCATCATCTTCTAATGTATCAAACGAAACGAAGGCAATGAAAAAATCAATAAAACAAGTGACGATGCCGATATTTAAAATCGATAATGTTCCAACATTTTTCTTGGAATGAATATTTCCCATGTCTGGATCCAGCTTAAGGACCAGTCCTACAGTTTCGTGCTAACATTAAATCTTTTCGGAATAAAGGAGGATTTCTGGATTTCTCATTGATCTTTAATAGGTTGTTTCCTGGCAGTACATCCTATTACCTTTGGCTATGTCCATTGTCGAAAGGCATTGGTAACCCGTTCAAAATCCTCCGTGCTCGGAATAGGGAATTGCAATTATTTCCCTTGGACGAGGAATCTCTAGTAAGTGTGAGTCAGCTCACGCTGATTACGTCCCTGCCCTTTGTACACATTAGAAATAGGGTTGCCCCAGTCATCTAATATTAATTTTCCACACCAGAGAATACATTTGTTGAAGGTGAATAGTGAAGGACTAATTTGAAAATCAGCTCGAAGATCGTCAGTGATAAATATATGGCTGGAAGAGCGTGGTTAACTTCAGACTCAAAGAATTCTGTCGTACAAAGCGGTCTTTGATGGCCGTAAGAGGCATACGAGATCTCTAATCACTTCATTGACCGTTCCTAGAATTGCACTTAATTTATGAAGGCGAAATAGTTTCCTATTATGACCTAGAATATTTAGTTCCAAATGTTTATTTAAATATATATTTTTGGAAATCATTTTAAACATTGAAACATTTATTTTCTTTTGCTTGTTTTAACTTTAATTTAAATTAAATGTTTTCTTTATTTCTTTGATTTCTTTGATTGAAGGAACATCCAGAATCGACTTATAACTGCAAAAATAATCCGCATTTGCGTCCCGCTTATGTTCTCGATCGTTTATTCTACCATTTTAGTAATGAAATAGCTGCTGGAAAGTGGGCTGATCGAGGACTTCCTCCAGTTATTGAGACGGATAATCATATTTCTGTAATTATTTTCGATTATTTTAATTCTAAATTATAATAACTTAATTTTTTTCTCATTTTGAGGCCCTGCGTCACATATTGCAAGATGAAATTATGCCTCGAGTTAGACTGGCAGAATTCTTTAAAATCGACATTCCTCTGCTGGCTGAAATATTTCGTACCGCTATTAAAGGTTTGTTATTTGAATTTTTAATTGATCATGTCTTAATTTTTAATGAAATTATTTTTAATGGATTATCTCTTTCGTGTTTATTTCATTCTTATCAATTTTCGCTTGTAGCTTATTTGATTTTTCATTTTGAATGTGAGGAACCAAATTTCTAAAATTTAATGTTTGCTTTGCTTTCTTTTAGAAAGTCCTATATCTGATGACTATATCGAGGATTGTTTGGAATTAATTCCTGGTAAACAGTGGGCTAGATTTGGTTTCACTATTGATATGGCTTCAGCAGTTCGTAAATTCAATCACAGTCGGTAAGATAGAAAAAAATTTTCGTTTTTTCAATTGTTCCTACATAAATTAACTAGCTTAACTTCAGCTTTTTCAGTTTTTTCGATTGATTTATTATTATAGTGATTTTGAGATATAATGTGAGTAATGAAGAAGATCGTCAAAATCAATGCATTCATGCTTTTTGCAACGAGATGGACTACTTAAATCGATGTAAGGATGATTACGCTAAAGAAATTATAGAAGCGAGTATAAATGCTGTCATTGGCCATGTTTATTATACAAGAGTCAATCCTTCAGGTCCAAGAAGAAAGGATTTGATTGGAGATTTCCCTCTCGTTGATTGGTTTCTCATTTTTTTGCTTCATTTTAATTTTTTTGATTTAATACATAAATAGATTTTTCTTATTCGAATTAAACTACGAATTTTCATTAAAGATTCACTTTTGTTTGGTTTATCGTTTTTAGTTTGTTTTATCGTTTTGTTTTATTTAATTGTGTTTTTGAGATGTCATTTTAAAAAAATGAAATTTTCATTGAAACTTTGATAGTTATTTCGTGCATACTTTTCCAAGTGAAACATGGGAGAAGGATGAATTATATGCTTATAACGATAATACTGCTCAATATTTGATGGCTTGCAATGGATGGGTAATGAATGCGAATCCTCTCATTGATTTTGCTGCTTATCCTTCACAGGTAATAAAATACTTCTTCATTTTGGTTGGTAAAAATATATCGATTATTAGTTTATTTTAGGTTTATTTACGGCGTGAATTGGTTTGTTGGGGTGATTGTGTCAAGTTAAATTATGGTCAAAAACCTGAAGATTCTCCATTTTTATGGAAATTCATGAAGGAATATAGGTTGTAATTTGTTTAAATCTCTGTTTTACGATTGATTTGAAATTTGAATCAGTTGAAGTCATTTTGACATATTTTAATTTTGATATTTGATATTTTTTATATTAAATTTCTGTAAGAAAACGTACCTCTTTACAAAAATATATTTTTGAATGGAATATTTTAGTCAGACTTGTGCTCGAATATTTCATGGTGTTCGTATAGATAATTGTCATAGCACTCCGATGGTAGTTGGCGAGGTAATTTATCGAAATTTATTTTCTTTTTTTTCATCTTTTGTTTTTTTGTTTTTTTTGTTGTTTTATTTCGTATAATTTGGAATTTTTCTTTGCTTTTTTGTTTTGTATTTCATTATTAAATTTGCGGATAAGTAAGTTTTCTGATTGAAATTAAGGTTATACCTAAATTACTAAAGGTAGATGCTAATAAAAGGTAAACATGAAATATATGTTTTAATGTATAGATTTTTTTAGTATATGTTAAAAGCTGCTCGTGAAATTCGGCCCGATTTATATGTTGTAGCTGAGCTATTCACTGGAAGTGAAGTCATCGATAACATTTTTGTAAATCGACTCGGAATTACTTCTTTAATTAGAGGTTAACCTACTACTCAGTATTTTTTATTTGAATGCTCCTTTTCCCTATTTTTTATAGTTATAAAAATTGTTTATCGATTGTGTGACAAATGGTATTTACTGTATTTCTACTATATTACTGCATTATTACTGGTATATTATTTTTTACTATATATGTATATTATTATATATATTTTGTATATTTTGAGTTTATCGTTCACAATTTTTTCTCAATAAATTCTCTATTTAAAGAGGCACAAAACGCATCGGATAGCCATGAGCAAGGTCGTCTTGTATATCGATTTGGTGGTGAAGTCGTAGGAGCTTTTATCCAAACATCAATTCGAGAAGCGACATCATCAGTGGCTCACGCTCTTTTTTATGATCAGACTCATGATAATCCTTCAGCTATTGAGGTAATATTGGCTTTATAGATGTAACGAAAAAAGGGATTCGTTTGTCGTTTAACCTTCAAGTCGTTATCCCGTTATCCCTTTCCGTTAAAAAAGGTATCATAATCGTAACTCGATCGTTGCCGCGAACCTCAAATTCAAACTTGGGTAATTAAACCTTTATTAAACCTTTGGATAACAATATAATTACAACACTGTTATTTAATAACAATATATTACATTATAATATAACCATTGACAAAAAAAAACAATGATAAACAAAAACGATCCATCAAAAAAAGAAAAAAAATCGAGCGATAAATAGCTTACCTACGAGCCCACACCGCTCACCTACCAACACAAATAAAATAATAATTTTTTCCCCAAAAAGAATCGATACAAAATGGCGGCTCAGACACGCTTTTTGTTGGTCTTCATTGATTCTGCTCATTTTGAATACAATAGACTTTAAATGATTTTTTCTATTCGCTTGTTTTATTTTCGTGAAAATCATTTGGTTTTTATCTCTTTATATTATTTTATTCAATTGCCATAACTGAAACTTTTATTTTTGAAGCAAAACTATTATATTCACTGACTATCTGATTTGGAAAGCAAATCATAGAAAAAAATTTAAGAAAGAATTTTTATCTGATATTTTTAATAGTTTGAAATTTGAAATTTTTTCTATTAATTTTTGTATTTTTAAGCTTAAAAGCTTCAGAAACGGTCTGTTTTTGATGTGCTTCCTACGGCAGCAATGATAGCCATGGCTAGTTGTGCTAACGGTTCTACCCGAGGATATGATGAGCTTATTCCTTTCAAAGTGATTATTTTAATATTTTTTCGGAAATTCTAAAAAAAAAATAAATCAAAAAAAAGTTCTAAAAGTCCATTCTCCTCATTTTTAGATTGATGTTGTAAATGAAAGACGGCTCTACGCCAAGTGGACTGAGATGGGCAATTACAGGGCTCTTATTGATATTCGCGCAATTATTAATCGACTACATTCATGGCTTGCAATGAATGGTTTCACACAAGTTTGGCATTAATTTAAATGATACAATTTCAGTTTCAGTTCAAAGAAGGAGATTTCATTTTGATAGAAGTAAAATCGTAGTTTTTGAGAAAAAGAAAAAAGTTCATTCAGGTATTTGTCGATCAGATGAATTTCGATATCGTTGCTGTGACTCGACATAATCCAATAACTCATGAAACGGTGATTTTGGTAGCCCATACTGCTTTTAGTAAAAACAGTATAAATCATGTGGGACCCGTTGTCCGCAATGTGCATTTCGAAGGTTTTTTAAAGTCTTTTAGCTAAAAATGGTTATCATTTATGAAATAGTTTTTTTTCAGCTTGTTCTTTTCAACTTGTATTGGTTTTTTCAATATTTTAACTCGTTTCGATGGTTCATAGTTTCTAAAAAAGTTTATAAAAGTTTGGAAAAATGAAATTATTTTATATTGATAAAATTGATTTTCGATTTCATTTTTCACTTTCTTTTTTTATTAATATTTTTATTTTATTCCTTTGTATTTTTTCATTTCGTTTCATTTTGCTTATTTTTAGGACTTCTTGAAGAAATTATTTTTGAAGCTCAAATCATCGGAGGACAAGAAGTGCAGCCTTTTAGTATGAATATCATTTAGATGTTTTTTATCTTTTTACATATATCCTTTTATATATCAGAGAGGTTAAATGAAATATTTTGCATTGATTTTCTCTTAAGATTTTGTTCCTTTAAATTTTTCATATTTTATTTTTGTATCAGGCAGTGACTGGCTTCATGGGTTAACAGAATACTATGTGGAATTCATGGAACATTTAAAACCTAATGAGTCAAAACTCGTTCTGGTTCATGGTGTAGAAAATGGTAATATCGAGCTGAAAAATTTTTCTTCTGGATCAGTCATTGCTTTGAAGTTAATGTTCAATTTAAGTTTCGGCCTCCGTGAAATATATATTTATCAGAAATATATAAATATATTTTTATATATACAGAATATATATAAATAGAAAAATATATTCACCTAAAATATTTCTTATTTTTGATAAATATATATATACTGATTATTTCTTATATTCTTATATATTGAGTTTTTATTATAGCGTAAAAAACTGAAACAAAAAACTAGTTGAAAAATTGTTTGGGCGAAAAATTCATTGTGTAGATATTTTTTTCGGTTTTATTATATTGGTTTTTATTTTATTTGTTTGCAAGATTTTCTGGAAATTCAATATTTTTTTGTTGATCGATTTTTTCATCTTATCTCCTTTTTTGAATTTCATTTGAATTGAATCGTATTATTTTCATTTATTTTAGGATTTCTCCACTGAAATCTGCTGCTGAAAGTGTGGCGAAAATTCGTAATCTTTTAGCTAACGATGATGATCCTTTACGAAATGGTTTTTTTTTTTTCAACGTGCTCTCTTACATTGGTTTTTTCAATATGTTAACTCATTTAAATAATCCTCGTTAATTTGAGACAAATTCATCTGTCTGATTACAGAATTGCGTAGAAGTCTAGAAAAAATGTCACTTCAGCCTCTGAGTTACATCTTTTTCAATTGTATAGCAGAAGAAATTGATTGTGGTGCTGGAGCTTATCATATTCCTGACTTTGGCCAATTGGTCTATTGTGGTTTGCAAGGTGCGATCATTGAGAATTTTTTTGATGTTTTGTTTTTTATTGTCTGTCTATAAAAAATGGAATCGATTTCAGGTTTGAAACCATTGTTGAAAAAAATAGTTGCGCAAAATGACTTGGGGCATCCCTTATGTGATAATCTACGGAAAGGATGTTGGTTAATAGATTATATTGTCCTGCGTTTAAAGCGGCATCAAAACACTTGCGAATATGGTTTTGTTGTTGAAAAAATCTTTATGCCTGTAAAGGATGTTCAATATTATCTACGACCATCATATTTTGAAGCTGTTTTTTCGTTAATCTACAGAATTACTCGCGAAGAACTGTTTAAAAAGCTTCATCCGTGCGTTCTTTTTTGGTTTCTCGATCTTTCCAAAAGTTTGAAAGTGCTTCTTCTTTCCAATGAAAATTTTTTTTGTTTTAGAGACTTGCTGAGTTCTTCCCGTTTTGTTCGTGCTTTAGTGTTTTCTGCAACATCTTTTGTCAATGCGATTAATTCGTCAAAGTTGCCACCTTTATCTCCTTCAGTTATTCTTGAAGATCAGTTTCCTTCATCATTGTCTGCTGGTTTGCCTCATTTTTCTGTTGGAATATGGCGCAACTGGGGTCGTGATACTTTTATTGCTCTTCCTGGTTGTTTACTTGTCACAGGTCGTTATTATGATGCTAGGTGATTTTTTCGAATGATTGTTCACTTTCGAATGATTTTTTAAGGGAGCATTGCCGGTATCTTCAATAATTTTTAGGAATCTAATTCTTGCATACGGAGGTGCTTTACGACATGGACTTATACCAAATTTATTGGCTGAAGGACAAGGACCACGTTATAATTGCCGTGATGCAGTGTGGTTTTGGCTTTATGCTATTATTAAATATATAAAGATGGCTCCCCATGGTGATGAAATTTTGTTAATGAAAGTTTTACGCTTATATCCATTCGATAACACAGAATATGGTCGTGACCAAAGGGTGATTCTTAACTCAAGAGTTTAAATTGATTAATATGCATATTGAAAGAAAATTCAGTTTAAAATCTGAAATTTTTATCCAAAGACCAAAGGTTAAATAAAAAGGTTAGAAGTTCAGGATAGCTATAAATGCAAAATTAGCAAATTTGAGGAAAATTTTTATCAAATGTTTTGAGGAGTTTTCAGTGCTGCTGAAATTTTCTGTAGTTCTTTACGTCGTTTTTCATGTTTCTTTATGTTCACCTTTATTTAATATTTCCTCCATTTTAGGAAGAAGAATTGTGGAGAACGATGCACGAAGCACTTTCTCGTCATTTCATCGGGATTGATTTTCGTGAACGTAATGCAGGGACTGCAATTGATGAGCATATGACTGATCAAGGTTTGTTATAGTTTCTTTTTAAAAAACTGGGTTTGGATCTTTTTTACAAAAATTTTATATTATATTTTTTTATATTATATGTACACAAATTTAGCAGCACTTGTCTTGAAAAATTGTGTTGAGTCATCTTTTAGTTTTAATTGGTTGAAGGCATTTTCTCCATTGTATATCTTGTTATCGCAGGATTTAACGTTCGTGCTTATGTTGATCATGAATTTGGATTTATTTGTGGAGGTAATGAGTGGAATTGTGGAACATGGATGGATAAAATGGGTAATTCGCATAAGGCAGGTAACGCTGGGGTTCCAGCCACTCCTCGTGACGGTGCCGCCGTAGAATTACAAGGACTTGCATATGCCGTTATATGCAGTTTACAGCATCTTCATAAAAAAGGGTTATTTCCTGAATCCGGCGTAACTAATGGTAAAGTTTTTTGTGAACTATCTTTTAAAAAATATGTTAATTTGTCTTTTAATGTTAAATCTTAAAACTTTGTTAAATCAATTAGATATAATGACTGTATTAAAAATATTTAGATAAAATTGCGACAGAAAATAAATTTAGGTGAAATATCATGGAAATGGAATGAATGGGCCGCAAGAATGAAAGCAAATTTTGAAAACTGCTTTTTTGTAAGAGATGATGATCATTCTTTTAATATCAATCGACGAGGAATTATAAAGGATACCTTTCGATCAACTTCTACTTACACTGATTTTCAACTTAGGCCTAATTTTGCGATTGCTTTGGCTGCGGTATCCATTTCATTTCATTATAGGGCAATTTCTAGGTTGTCTAAAGTCTTTATTTTTTTTTATTTATATGAATTCGATGAATTTTATTAAAATAAGTAATGCCATTATCAAGAACAGAATTATCAAGAATAGAACAAAGATAAAAGAACACCGAATATGTTTGATTTTAGGCACCAAATTTGATGAATCCTAAGAATGCTTGGAGAGCACTGAATATCGCTGAAAGTATTTTAATGGAAGGCGATATGAGCCTTGGGATAAAAACTTTAGATCCGAAGTATATATTGATTTTGCTTTTTACATCTTAATATTTATTTGCTTGAAATTATTTCCATATTTTTTTATGAAAATAAGAAAATTGATGAAATACTTTGGTTAAGAGCGAAAGTTTAGGTTCGACATCGTTTTCATTCCATAAATGAATCTATTTAAAGTGGAATCCGAATCATGCAATATTCCCAGTCCTCCCATACGAATGGATTTTACCCTAATAGCCAGAGCAGCCCATCAAATTTTCGTATTTATAAAATAAGATCCATAATTTCAGCGACTGGAACTATAATGGATTTTATGACCCTTCAAATGATAGTTATGATAGGAAGGTTGCTGGAGGTTTCAACTATCATCAGGGTCCTGTAAGTCATCCACCATTTGCTAAATAAATAAATTTATTCACTTTTAGTTTTTTTAAGTACATGTAATTTGCGTTTTAAAAAACTTATTAATAGCGCCTTATAAATGAATATATCTCAAGCCAGTTTAATTTATTTGTTTTGAGGAATGGCTTTGGGTAGCAGCTTATTTTTTAAGAGCAAAACTATATATTGCGAACGAACTTAATCAGCAAACTTACGATGAAACGGCGCGAAATATTAGAAAATATTTGGGCAGATATTGGAGACATCTTGAACATTCTCGATGGTCGTCCTTACCGGAGCTAACTAATGAAAATGGATCCCACTGTGGTGCCTCATGCCATGCACAAGCCTGGTCTATAGGGTGCCTTTTAGAAACTGTCCATCATCTCTACAGAAAATAGAAATAAAGGCAGAATTTAGAATTTAGGATTTTCTAAACATACCATCATAGTACCTTATAGAATAACCGTCGACTTGATTAAAAATTTGTGCAAGAATGTTCAATAAATGAACTTCTTTTCAGTTGAACGTTGTAGATGTTCTTTTTTTCAAGCCGTTTTTTTTAGTTTTCGTTAAATTTGTACTTTTTATTTTATTTTATTCGATTTAAATTGAGAGTGCCATAAGTAGTTGTAGAAATAAATTGTAGCGTTTGCTTTAACTTTATGTGCCATAGTAACTGTAAAATAAATTTTTATGTATAAAACATTTGGTCGCACATTCCAATAAAGCAAATCGGACAAGTTAATCGAGCGTTTAAAGAATTGTTCATAAATCGCAATTTCCCAGTAAATTATAGATTTTGAACTTCAGTACTACCGAAGGTAATGGGAAGGTACGGGCTAGCAGTTTATAGGACTTATGTATTTGTTAGCCTTTTCACTAAAAATAGTTACTGAAACAAATTAATTGTATAATAATATTGCAAGTGGTATTCTTTTGCTCTTCCCCGTTTTAAAATAAGTTCGCAATAAATATTTGAAACCGTACCCGACCGCGATTCTAACACTGGTGACACTGTCAATAATCGAAATATCACTCGCATTTTTCATGGACAATTTTCTTTCAGTGGCAAAGCCTGTTTTCTCTTTTATAGCCATTTTTTTCGCACACATTTCACATTTAGGAACGGAAATTGAAAGCTTTAAATCCAAAATTAAGAAAAGAAAGAAACAAAAATATCTTTACAGTGAAGAAAAGATTCAGTTCTCTAAAGGACACCGATTTCTGGAAGACCCATCGACGACAATAACGAAATGAAGAAAGAAGATGCGTCCGCCGAGATTTACAAAATGCACGGAGAGGGCGAGATGGAAGTTCCGTCCCCTAAATAAGTGAGCTAATTGGACATACCAGAATGAAATTCCCCCGCCGAAGGATCGAGAATGGACAAACACGAATCTCCCCACCCTCCCCAATTCCAGTTTTAATGACACATTTACTCCATTCAAATGAGAGAAATCGCAAACGTCCAAAGTACATCAATCAACATACAAACTATTTATTCTATTGTTTCCGTTTTTTCGTTTTTTTTTGAATGTATTTTTAATTTATTTTTCAGTTTAATTTATTTAATATTTAATAATTCAGTTTAAAGCAATTAAAATTATTGCATTTTAATATATATTTTCTTACTTTTTTTAATTAATTGATTTTAATTAATTTGGTATTTTTTATTATTTTTCTAACAGCCATACATTGAAGAGGCAATATTTCCGGGCCGATGCCATACCCCCGAAAATCACATTTTCCCATTCACCCGCGTAGGCTGCAAAACATATGTCACGTTTTGATTAGTACTCCTCGCTGTCCATCACAAGGCTTAGCAAATAACGAGAACAGTGCGTCAGTTCTTGCGAAGAACATGGCCTAACCAGTGTAGATGAGGCTTTGTCGCGATATTCTTAATGCAGATCTATTTGGGCGATGATGTGGGATTTTACCTGCTGCGCGAGCCACGTAGAATGTGCCTTAGATATGAGTGGTGAATGGTAGCTTCTGAATATCTTCCACTCTCACTGGCCATGTTTCGCACCAAGGTGCTAAGCAAGTTGTACGATATTACGATTAGCTTAGCAAAATATTCAAATAAATGGGAACTTTCGTTTTGAAAGTGATTTCCTGGATATTTCGTCAGACGGAAGGGAGCGTTTCTAGCTGTGGTTATTCAAGCAGTAATTTCATCTTTCGTTTGGTCACTTTGTGTAGGATCGGATCTCTTCGATTATATTAGACAATGAAAATCCGGTATGTATTCCCTCATCATTGACGAATTGGTAAAAACAGGCTTTATGGCGTCTTAGGTATGAAGGAGTCTCCGACTTTGTTGCTGTTGTACTATCTGGCATTTCTTCATCTTTTAGCAAAAGTGCGTCATAAATGTATATGATACGATGCTCAAGATTGATTTGAACACTTCATGAGTCGCGGCTTAGGCTTAAGCCTAAGCCTAAGCCATAATCTAATCTGTCTGTCATATAAGAGAATATTGCAGGGAAAAGGAAGCAGCCCAACGTACAAGGCTTCGAGTTCTTTTCGAAGGGATCTATCAGTTCGTCGTACATAGACTTTTGTCGATACATGCTGGTGAAATGCCCTTATCGATCTTCTCTGGGCACTCCCATTCCATCACCTTTTAAAGCACCATTCTCTCCAATGAATCGAAGGCAGCGACAATAAAACTCAAATATAAATAAAAATAAAAATCAATAAAACTCAAATGATGGTATTTAAAACCGATAATATTCCAATAACTTTCTAAACGTGAGACGTGAAAGCACATTCACTCGCCCCAATCCAGCTCGTTTAGAGGGTCCATCCTTCTGTCTCGTGTCACCATAAGTCTAGCAGAAAGGAGGCGAAAATTTTCCTTATGATATCTAGTAATTCCCTTCACGATTGTACCACATCCCATCATCCTTCTTGAAGATTTGGAGTACGATTTCTGATTATCTGGTATTAGTTTTTTTTTCACACTATCCATTAAGTCGGGAATGACGGTGAACATTTGAAGATTTCAGCCAGTTGCAAGGCCCGATGTTTTCTAAACGGCAGAGATTATTTTTTTGGCGATTCTCAGTTGGACATACGGTTAGATGTTAGATGTGTTTCAGCTATGTCACAAAGATTTAGTACCACTATAAAGGAAACTAATGAATTCGCCACAGCCACTGTAACTCTCGAAATGCTTCGGTATAAAATCAAGAAGAATAAAAAATGCAATTCGCCCATGGAAAAGAGTGCTGGAAAATAAGATCAAAGCACAACGCAAAGAAATTAGTCGACTTACAGAATTACAGAAAGGTGTAAAGAATAAAATTAGTGATGGGAAAATATAGGGACTACGCCACCAATAGCAGAAGTTTTACAATACTGGAAGAATATAAGGGAAGAAAAGATCATAAAGATCAATGCAAAATGGCTGCAAAATCTGAGAACAAGTCTGAGAACAGTCACAGCAATCTCCTAGAGTAGGAACCAGCTACCGTCACAATTTCTAACGTTCAACAACGACTCAAAAATATGAAAAGTTGGGCAGCGTCTGGTCCGGAAATTCAGTGCCTATCAACAGCATGAAAAGTCTTGTCAGATATCATAGCCAAGTGTTACGACCATATGAGTCAGTATATGGGTTGCGGTCCAGAAAGGCATCAGAGGCTCAAAATACTAGTTTCTCATAGAAGGTAGTCGCTCTAGACTTAAAATTCTGGCAGATCCATCTATGTACAGCTTGGATTGACTATAGGAAAGCCTATGACTCAGTGCCTTACACATGGATTTGTGAATGTCTGGCTCAACAGGACTCTAAAGACATTCATTGAGAATTTATTGAGACTGTGGAGATTGGCACCTGAAATCAATCGAAACAGCTTGCATAAATGGTTGTAAAGTGCGACACATACTAAGACGATGCTTTGTCTCTTCTATTGTTCTGTCCCAGATACCTCCATAGGCAGATAACCACCGAAGTGGATATGAATAAAAATGAATTCAGGAGTAGAACCACCATCCGCCATCTTCTTTACATGGATAACATCAAATTAAGAAGCTTATTTATCTAACTGGGATCTTTAGCGAGGAAATTGGGATGAATTAGAGATTAGAGAAATGTGGCCGAATCTTAAAAGAAGAAGAGGGTAACCTAACAGGGTGGACCTGCCATCAGAATATGGGACAGATTAGCTACAAGTATCTTGATATCCCACAGTCAAATGGTAACCAAGAAAGACTGCAACATCATCATCATCGAAGAATAAGGCAAATCTTGAAGGGCCAGCTCAATGGGAAGAACAAAATCTATGCCATAAATATAAACGCCTTGCCAGTCATCAGATACGCAGCTGGTATTGGAAAAAGGAAGAAATGGAGGTTGATGTAAAGACCAGGAAACTCTTCACAGTGCGCAGATTTGTTCAGTATTCAAAGGCTGTACATTAGCCGGAAAGAAGGTGGTTAGTGCTTGGTGAGTATGAAAACCACTATCTTGAACGAAATTCGAAGCATTTAGAAATATGTGGCACCAAAGGATGAACTGCTGAGAGAATATCTGAAGCATATACAGATATTGATAACGATCAAGCAGAGGAAATACCATGGCAAGGCTTTCCATGGATTGTACCATCGATAGATAGATGAGATAGCTGACTGTGAAATCCTGCCACTGGTACTAATAGCAGCATAGGAGCAAGCACTAAATACTAGGTGCATCGAAGTAAAGATCTATCACACAAGACAGAGCCTTAGATGCAGATTATGCAAAAATACCCCAGAAACAGTCCAGCATATAATGCAAAACTTAAAATGCAAGTAGGAAACTTTCCCAAGATTAAATGGGAGATTCCTCAGAAAATTTAGACGAAGTTCCTATGAGATTTGTTCATCCAGGCAGATAAAGTAATGGTTAATCAATCAGACCTCGTGGTAATAGACAAGAATCAGAAATCAGCACTGACGACAGTAATACCCAAGGTAACAGAAAAAACAATATCAAGAAGAAAATGAAAATTTAGAGAAATACCAGAGGCTAAACGAGGAACTATAGATGTGGAAAATAAAGTAATGTAATTCCAGTGATAACTGGAGCCCTTGAAACTATGATCCGTGAACTAGAAAAATGACTTCAACAGATTTCAAAGTGAGTTCAAGAACAATATCAGAGATTTTTATCCAGAAAAGCACATATTAGGAACAGGTACTGGTTACTGCGTGGAACCCTCAATCTCCCAGGCCTCTCGTAGAGAATTCGAGGTTGAAGGTGGTCACGGAGGATGAAAAAGAAGTTTTTTATTATCTGGCTAAGCCCATTCACTCTGGTCCTGCAATAATATTAAGGACATGAAGATGAAGATAAATTAAGGAGATTGGATGGAGACTGTGAAGCGTGTATATGAATTATACGCCCACGCGATTACAACCAAGGATAACTATAAGGAATATTGTAAAAGAGATCAAATCCCAAATCTTAAACACTTACTAGATACCACGAATAGATTGAATTGAGAGGAGCAGCAGTATCCTTTTAAAAGATAAACAAAAAGGGAAAATTCGAGTTCGATTAGTTTGAAAACAAAGAGCGATAATCTGAATTCGAATAAATTTCGCGGATTCACAGAAAATTTGATGAAATAAGAGAGGTTAATGAAATGTTTACACTACTCTCGCAGCTACTTTTAAAATAATGTGTTATTATCATTAATGGATGAAAATTTTCATTGATAAAAATTTTATCAATTAATTTTCGATTCCTAATTTATTTTAAAAAGATTTTTTTTGTTTATAATTTTTTATATTTTATCTTCTACAAGCATACATCGTGTTTACTGATTAGGTTGGCTTGGCTTGCTAGAACGACGAGGCATTTCCACGCCTCTCGTTCTATTGTCGCGTCTGATTTAATATTTAAATATTTACACAATATATAATTTAATATCAATTTATATTTTTGGTATATTTTAGCAAAAATTTCATAAAATAGATTTTTTTTTTAAAATGAGATATTTGCTTTAACTGTCATATATTTTTGTATTCTGAATACGAATTTAATTTAATCTTAATTTTGATTATTTTTAAAACTCCATGCAAATTCTAATTATTTTACTGAAAAATAAAATTTTTTAGGTGCCAAATTTTATTAATAAAATATGTTTCCTATTGGTTATCGTTTTATAACGATTGGAAAGATGAAAAATTTTCTAGCAATCGCAGATCGAGGTGGCTTTTTTAACGCGTTTTTTGCAAAAAATTTCTAAAGTTCATTTTTAATTATTTATTTTTTTAAATATTTTGCTATTAAAGTTTCGTCAGCTGTGCAAATTGTTTTTCTATACCTTTGATCAAGCGAACCGATTATGTTTACTTATTTGATGGCAAACCCGCAGCAAACACGGCGAATAATAGAAATTTGCTGGATAAATGTTGACGAAATGTTGATAAAACAGCTGTAAAGCAAGAGGAAAGAGGGAGAGTTATTAAAGCGAAAATTAATTTATTCTCCAGTCCAAATTTATTTATTTGAAGCAATTAAGCAAGGCGACAAGCGCATGTGATTATATTAGTTTTAATAACAACAAAGTAAGGTAAACGAACAGAAATTAATAAGAGATATATTGTACAAAAGGACCAAAAGCCAAGAATGTAAAGAGAAATAATGCAATAAAGGTAAATTGCAGAATAAATCAAGTCGAAATGAATGTACTACATGAATGTAATAATCGGATGATAAAAGATAAAAATTTCAAAGTACGTACCTTCCCAGTGTGAACCTTTTAAATAATATCATGGATGATATTATTTAATCCATTTTAGTAGCTAAGGATGCCGCACAAATTACGTTTAGCAACTTAATCCAGTAATTAATAGTGCGAATAAAAAAGCCAAGCGCACACTTAGGCTTAGACTTTACCCATTTTGTTGGGTTAGTCTAAAATTATAATATTTTGAATAATCTAATTTGACGCAACCCATATAGAATTTTATATGTGTTAATTAAATCTTGCTTAATTCGACGAACTGAGAATGAATCTAGGTTGTATAGATGAAGTGCTTTATAATTGAGATTACTACTGTTATGATTCCCATGGAAAGTATGTTTAGGAATAAAATGATATATATTTTTGGAACATTAAAATGGTATATAATGATATATACCATTTAAGTGGAATGTATGGTGCAAACTCACTAAGTATAAGTACTAAAGAGCGCAACTGAGTGGACTATAACTCAGATTAATGTTGGCATGTAAGGATTCTAATCCTGTACCACCCAAGAGTCTTTCTTCTTCCTCTAGTTCTCACCATTACTGGTTAGGCTGGCTCCACTGGCTACAAGGCCATCACTAGTAGTAATAGAAGCCATTCCTTTTTTCATCGTCCATATATCACTGGTCCTCGTACACGTTCAAAATCTTTTATGACCGTATTAGTCCAGGTCCTCTTCGCTTTTGGCGCCAACCATAAGGTTTAGCAAGTAACAAAATGCGTCAATTCCTGTGGTGGACAAAGGAGAACGCCCTAACTAGCGAATTCTGTGATAACATTATTAATACAGATGGTATTTGAACGAAGGTGGTTATAATCATGCGCGATTTTTTCCGTTTAACGGATCCGTAAAAATATTTCTTATACATGAGTGGTCAAAGGCTAACAACTTTTAAATATCTTCCACTCTCATTGGCTATGTTTCGCAGCCATATACCAAGATCGAAAGAATCGTGGCTATATTGATGCGATATTTCGTTTTTATGGTGATTTCGCGACGATTCGATAAAATCAACCGGAAAACACGTTTCTAGCTGTCGTTGTCCGGGTTACAATTTCATCCTTTGCCTGACCATTTGGAATTAGAGTGGATCAAAGTCAAAAACTTCCTCAACCGCTAATGAATTGATAAAAATAGTAGGTATTTTATTAGTATCTTGTATGTAAGGCGAAAGCACTTTCATTTTATTTACATTGATTTTTTCAATTCTCGCTGGAGTTGTTAACACATTGTTTAACAATGACAGGTTGTATCATAATCAAGAAGAGGCAGAACGAAAGCTTTGTTGATAAGAAAACTTAGATTTCTATTTTAAAAAGGAATGAAAAATAAAATTTAGTATTCGTGAGGATTTCTTTACTATGATTCTGCATTGGAGGTCGAAATCAAGATTTTCATCTACGATTAAGCCAAGATCTGAGATATTCGAGAATCGTATAATTATTTTAGCATTAATAGAGATTGAATCAATGAATGAGAGAGTCCTCACCATTACTGGTAAAACTCATTCCACTGGCTTGTCACATTGAGCAATATCCCATGATAATAGAAGTACAGGTGAGTCGATAGCATCACTCGGATTTTTGTACAGGTTTATTCCTGCAGGGAATCGAACCTCGTAATAGAGATTAGGGAGATAGATCCTTTCGAATTTATGTAACATGCTTTGAATGGGAAGGTTGATTTGCCTGTCATATAAATTCTACTAAAGTCATCTTGTAGTTTCCGATTTACTGTGAGAATAATGAATTTTACAGTCAAATAGCTTTTTTCTGCGATTAAAATATTCTTTATCAAAATTAAAATATTCTTTTTATCTATTTTTGAGTGATTTTTTCATTTCTTAAATTATTTACACATAAATTCAATTTATTCAATTCGAATTAATAATTTTAGTAAGATTGCAGCCAAATCTTCATTAAACTATAGCGATGTATTGGATTTGCGAAGTCAGTTAACTGATGAAGAAGTGACATTAATGGAGCAGACCCGTGATTATGCTCAAAAAAAATTACTACCTCGTGTTATTGATGCTTATCGATATGAAAGTTAGTTTTTATAAGATAAGAAGCCTTTGGAAACATTTTTAAGATAACTGCAAAAAAAACGGTTGTTCGATTATCCCTCTTCTATAGCAATGTTCTTAGCTTTCTTCGTCACAGCATCCTTTGGTAATCCAATGAAAGGGTCTCCAGATTTTCTCTAAAACTCCAGTTCAGAATTAAAAAATGATCGGCAATCAAAATGGTTTCAGAATTTGATCCAACACTTATACCCGAAATGGGTGCTATGGGCTTACTTGGAGCTCCTTATCAGGTTTTCTACTTTTCTTTTCTATTAATGCATTTTACTAATTTATTTAAACTTTTTTCTGCCCCTTTTTAATATTTTTTATTAAAAACAAAATAAGTGAATTATTTAAAATTTTTCAAATTTTTTAGTGGGACGCTTGTCTTAAAAATAAATGTTACTATTATTTCAATTATGTCAATTATTTAAATTTTATCGCAGTAAATTTTTGTATTAGGGATATGGATGTGCAGGGACAACAACAGTTGGATATGGCTTATTAGCTCGCGAAGTTGAAGCAATTGATAGTGGTTACCGATCGACGATGAGCGTTCAGACAAGTTTGGTCATTGGACCAATATATAACTATGGTAAAATAATGGTATTAAATGCATGATTTTTGCGCATTTGATTTCACTATTATTTAAAGACAACTTGTTTTTTTCTAAAAAAAGTGTCTCGAAAATATGAACTTTATAGGGACTGAAGAGCAAAAAGAAAAATATATCCCGAGGTTATCTGCTGGCAAGCTTATTGGATGCTTCGGCTTAACTGAACCAGATTTTGGATCAAATCCAGCTGGTTTAATTTTTTTTGATTTTTTAATCAGCTCTTAATAAGTTTTAATTATTCATTTATTTTTTTATTTCTTATTTACTTGAATTCGTCTGGCAGAGTCTGACTGTGACTTTAATGTTAGTGAACAAATGTTAGTGAAAAAAAAAGATAGATAGCATGGCTTGAGAAAAATTTACAAAATTTACAAAAATATTGTCAATAAGATTGGCTTTTTTAGTTCAATATTTAAAATTTTTTGTTATTATTATTTTGTTCCGAAATTTTTTCGATTTTTATTCACAATTAATCGGAAATTGCGATTCTATAATCAAAATAACTATATTTGAGAAATTTGATTTTCAAAATTGAGGCATGCAAACGAAGGCGAAATGGGATGAAAATAATAAAGTTTACAAAATTTCGGGGACGAAATCTTGGATCAGTAATTCACCAGTTGCCGATGTCATGATCGTTTGGGCAAGAAGTGATCGTCATGACAACCAAATCAAGGTTCTTTTTATGAAATTCAATTTTAATTTTAGTTATCGTTATCAAAAGCCGTCGAAGATTTTTATGGCTAAAATTGCAGGGTTTTATTCTTGAAAAAGGAATGAAAGGTCTTTCGACACCCAAAATAGAAGGCAAATTATCGTTGCGAACAAGTATTACAGGTCAAATAGCGATGGACGACGTAGAAATTTCAGAGGAGTACCTTCTTCCGAATACAGAGGTCTTAATTTTCCCCAATTTGAACAACATTTCATATTAAATATGGAACTAACTATTAGTTGATTCATTTTAAAATCCTTCATTCATTTAGATTTTCCATAGATTTTTTATTTAATATATAAGAAATATCACTGTATTGGTACATTATAATTTATCAAAAATTTCCTAAATTGGAGGTTACGTATCAATATATCATCAATTTTATTTATTTTATCGCGCTACGACAACGCTTGACAATATTGAGTAAGTTCAGTTTGCTCGGATGTCTTGTCGGTTTCTCTGGAATCTCACCAGCTTTACCAATCCACTCTACCTTTTGCGAAATGAGTAAAGATGTTTGTTGTAGCCGAAATAAAGATTGGTTTATCTAAAAAAGTACATGTACTGTTAAGGGTTTGGCTGGACCTTTTGGATGTCTAAATAATGCCCGACTTGGTATCGCTTGGGGTGCTTTGGGAGCAGCAGAATCTTGTTTTTTTATTGCACGACAATATGCCTTAGATAGGTTCGTTAGCGATCACTTAACTTCTACCAAACAACTGTCGCCGTGAATATATGGCCATTAATTGATACCTTCTGCTAATTAGGGATGTTTAAATATTTCAAATAAAACTTACGTTTTTAAATGTGGAATTTTATCTTTGAAGATGATTTATGCGGCTAGAACTTTCAACGGAAACGCAGGAAAATTTTTTGTTTTTCAGAATTCAATTTGGAAGACCACTCGCTCAGAATCAATTGATACAACTTAAGTTGGCTGATATGTTGAGCGAAATATCTTTAGGTTTGCAAGCGTGTCTTCGTGTAACCCGTCTAAAAGACATAGGGCAGTAAGTGTTTGCAGCAAATTTTCGATGCTCCCATTATATTCCCATTTTTAATTTTTATTTATATATATATATATATGTCTTTGACAATTAATTGATTCATATTGAGTCTACTTTTTTAACGAGAGTACACTTGCCATTAAAATAGAAATCAATTAAGCAATTGATTCATATTGAGTCTGCTTTTTTAACGAGAGTACACTTGCCATTAAAATAAAAATCAGGATTGTACTGGGAACTTCTACATAATTATATCCATATAATTCTCTTCACATAATAACGAAAGGGTTTTAATTTTTTTATTTGTATTATTCTTTCAACATTTACTAATCTCTTTTTAGGTAGGTAGATAAATTTTATTATTTTTTAAAGATTAAATTTTTTAAAGATAAATTTATATAGATCCAACAACACATCGAAAACGACACTTTTCATCTTTCATACACTATTATCATCATGTATGAAAATATGCATAATATGAAAGCCGTCGTTTCTATTGCATACACAAATACGAAATCGTTTTGCATCTTTTTTTTCAAAAATTTGTTTTAGATCAGTGCCAGAACAAATTTCCTTTATTAAGAGGAATTCATGTGGTAAGGCTCTTGAAATTGCCCGTAAAGCCCGTGATATACTTGGTGGTAATGGCATTATCGATGAGTATCATATCATGCGGCACATGCTGAATCTTGAAACTATTAATACATATGAAGGTAATCGAAGTTAAACACTACTTTAAATACATATATTAGTATCAGTATTTTTTTTTTTGATTTCTTTGACATAATTCATGATTTATAATAAATTCTTACGGTAAGGAAAAAAGTAATTCTGAAAGGCTTCATTTCAGTTGTTCTTATATAATATATTAAGAATCATGAATTTTCAAAAATTTCTAAAATCTAAAATCTAAAATCTAAAATCTTGTAGATCCTATTCGTATTGTTTATTTCTTAACTTTGCATTTCATTTATCTTATTTTCCCCATTTTTATCTTCATATTTTATAAATCTTCTTATATTACTTTCAAACCAATTAGATAAGTTACAATTGTTGTAGTTATTGCCTGCATTATTGTCATTTTCAGGCACACATGATATTCATGCTTTAATCCTGGGGCGAGCAATTACAGGCTTGCAAGCTTTCAAATGATATAATTACATAGAAGATTAATTATTGATGAATGGCGAATGATGAATGCATGTTAATTTATGTTCATTAGTTAAATATCAAATATTTTTGTGGGATTTTTACATTTATAATTTCATATAATTTTTATAGTAAGATATATAAAACAAACTTTTGGAATGGCAATGAGATCTAAAGAGTTCAAGAGCAAAAATTTTAAAAAACAAGATTGTGAGTTCATCAACAGCATCACATTGCTGAATACCATTTTGGCACCACGGTGAATAATTAAAACATAGGCAATCATGATAAAACTTACAAGGCAGTATAGCATTGTAATCAAGGTAAAAGATTGGCATTTTTTCCTCAGAAAAAGAGCTTCATCAATTTTATGAAAATGAATAAAGCTCGATTAATAACTGGGAAAATCTTTCAAAAAGATTTTTTTTTTAGGCAGAATTCATTAGAGGAAAAGATTTAACCTAACAAATAGAGTAGTAGATGATTTAATATTTGAAGTTTATTTCAAAATGCGAATTCAATGAATTCTGAATTATTGCAAAGATTATTGAAATTATAGTCAGCGGCAAAAGTTGGTATAATTCGCTCCTAATTTTCAAAAATTAAAATAGATATATATTCCTGACAAATGGATTTCTCAAATCCAAAGATTTCTAATACTGTTTATGGCCATTTTTTCTGGCCTTTTACGATTTGTACAGTGCTAAAGAATATGACTAATTCAGCTTATTCAGCATTGAGATTCGGACATAAGATTTGATTGGAATTTTGTATCGGCGTTGTCTGAACTGCTGCTTTCACTCTCATCTAAAATAAATTTTATTTTTTAAGTGTTTTTGTATTTAACGTAAACTATAATTATAAAACTGATAAAAGAGTGCTTGAGAAAGTAATTAACGAGTATTGCGCTAGTAGGAAATAAAATTCTTCGAAATTAATGGAAATCGTAAAATTCGAAAGAATCAGTCCGTTCATAATGAAAGAAAAGTCATTTGATGGCATGCAAAACAGAAAAATATGAAGAAAAAAAAGAAAATGAAAAGAAGCATGCCAACTTACTAACTCTGGCTGGCCAAATATCAAAGAGCATGCTGAAAGTTCTCGCTGCTTGATCTGCATCCATTGGATTGATTGTCTCTTTCAGTTGATAACCATCGGCTGGTAGCTCGCATGAACAAAATATTAAGCAACCAAAAATTGTCATCAAACGAGCTGAAGTTAGTCCATTATGATGTTCTGATGTTGCAACCATCTTCAAATGGTCCATAATTTGTATTAATGTGTTCTGAAAGTTACCTCATATTTCTCGTATTATATATGGAAACAATTTTCTGGAGAAAAGGCTAATAGTAAAATATTTAAAAAAGTAACCTTGTTTGGAGTAGGCAGACAGTCAATGACTCGAAGTAAGAGTTGCCGGTTATCTTGTGGATCATTAGGCAATGATACAGCCAATGCATCGACAAGCATGCCATAAATAGAGATAGAAATAAGAGGCTCAGGCAATTCTCGTAAAAAATCTTTCACGAGACAAGTCAGTACATTGGTGTCAGGTACAGCATTAACGCTTAGTTCTGCTTTTTCCACATTAAATTCCAATTCATCTCGTAACATTCGCTTTTTTTCGACTGAACCCACTACTGGAATTCAAAAAGTTGATTGCGCAAATTTGCATAGATAGTTGGTTGATAACATTTCAATAGTATTGTGGATTACTGAAAAGATCTACTTGACTTACAAATATAAAGTCCAGAATAATCGACTCCTCTTCGTTCAATCTCTTGCAACAATCTAGTTAGCACCAGCGGTGTTTCTCTTCTATCTCTTGCAATTAATCTTTGCAAAGGCACACCAAATACTCCATCATATCTTTAAAATATTCTTATTTATTCCCACAAAATAAGTAAAATCTCAGAGAAATGAAATTTTCAATCGCTGAAAAAGTCTCAAATTTAGTCTCATAGATATGCATAGATATGAAAGAAAGCGTATGATTTTTTTTAAGGACTAAAAAAACAAAAGCCCTTTAAGAGTGATTTATTGCTGACAACAAATTCTAACTTTATATAATTATCAGAATAAGTAAGTAATGCAACAGCCTCAAGTGAAAATTCAAATGAAACTTGGCGATATGCTAATTATCAACGACATTCTTATCCGATCTTATATGCGATATTTTTGGATTCATCACTTTTTTTTCTAACAGCACACAAAATTCCTCGTCTGACCTCTCTTATGTTTGACTAATAAGAACCCCTCTCGGAAAAATCTGAACCTGAACTGTGGGAATAGGGGGATCTTTAGCAATTAATGGATTTCCAATATTTATGGAATCTTTCAAATTGTATAAAAAAAGAAATAGTGAATTAATTCGATAATCGCTAAAAAGACAAATTTCTTTTAGTTCTTAAAGAAAAATCATCCAGTTATACCTGCAATTGACTGTACGTCTATAAGCAACAGTCATGTTGTGGAAAGCAACTCGAACAATGAGTTGTCCTTTCGGTTCCAGATTTAGCGCAAACATACGGTCGCCATTAAGGCGATCGACAATGAATGCCTCGAGCAATTTCAGTGAACCTTTATGACAAAGTTTGTGCCTTAAATGACCGATGTAATATTTAAATTTTTTAACTTAAGCTTGAGATTTAAATTTTTATTCCAAAGTAAAATTTAGTGTTTTTTTCTTGCTAAGTCTTAATCTGCAGATAAAAGCCGGATATCAGAGAAATATTTGGAGAAAACGTATTGGCTACTCATTCTTTTAAGGATTTTCTGAAGTCCGATTCTTAATGATTAAAAATTATGCCTGAAACGTGGATGCCAAGAATATACGAAAAAATTGGTGTGAGTAGCATGATGTACATCAATTTCGAACGTTTCCTGCCAACGAAACTTCTGTTCTGCGGTCGAAACTCCAGTTCGAGCTCGATGCACTTCATTAACTTCTACGACACAGTACATCTCTTCAGTAAAAGCTTTTTGTCTTTCAGGCATTTTTAGACCTCGGCCTTCGATAATCTACAATTTTTGCTGTAAATACCAATTCGTTCGCGAATTTTTGGAAAAAAGGTTCTTCTATAAAGTAAAGTATAAAAAGAATATAAAATAAGAAACGCATAAATCACTTATAAATCATTTTATAAATCACTTTAAATCACTTTTAGGAAACGATTAAAATTAGTCGAAGCCACAAAAATACTGTGCTTAATATTGCATAATGTGGTGCCATTTCAGGATGCTTATCCTGAAGATTTACTTTCGAATGCTACGAACCATTTTGCTGGCTATCCACTAAGACCCTGATTTCTTGCCAAAAATTTGTCTAATTCAATGAACCATCATAGTCAACCAAACCAGAGATGGTAAATGCAGTAGAAAAAAAAAGTACAATTTTTCACGCAAATATTTTAACAGATACTTGAATGACGAGAAGACCAGTTAATGAAGTAACATTAAGTGGTGTATCGATATCAAATCCAGGGCCAGCGGGTCTGAGCGGTACTCGCCTATTCATTAATGGTGAAACATGAAGTCTATCAAAAAGATCGCCTCTCTCATGGCTCGTCGTAAAACGCCCAGGCTGTAAGCTAATTTTTTCTTGATTCAAGTTCAGGAATTTCTTAACGTAACAATTTAAAGAGATCAGTATTCGGTCAGTATTACTAATATTACCATCAAATGAAGGATTTTTACAAAAGATCGGATGAAGGTGGAAGAAAATTTAAGGAATCCATTATATACTCTAAATGTTAGAGAAATAAAATAAAAGCTTATTAAATATCAATTCGAAAGTATCCGATCTTCCTAATTTCTTCATTAATGGCGATATAATTAGATGAGTCTCGAATATATCAGATCTTGGCTTAATCGTAAATGAAAATCTTGATTTCGACCTTCACTGTGGAACCATAGTAAAAAAATCCTTTAGATTAATTTTAACAAATTTTAATTTTCGGTCGTTTAAAAAAAAACTAAGCTTTTTATTAAAATATACAAAGCGTTCATCCGGCATATTCATGATTATAATACAACTTGTTTTTCCTCCAGAATCAAATAAATTAATTGAAGGTCTCCAAAAATACCTTGTACGTAGTCTTTCTCCTAATACCAATCTCAGTTATAATGCAACTCCAGCTATATACTCAGTTCTTCGAATTAAACAAGGTCTAATTTATATATTTAAAATATATATTTAATATAATATTTAATATTTAATATATTTAATATATTTCTTCATGGTTATATCAAATTATGTCAAATTAGATTATTCAAAACATTAGAATTTTAGGCCAAATTTGAAGCCAACAAGATCTAACGGGGTAAAATTATTAAAACCTAAATGCAGTAGAAAATTAAGAAAAACATGCCTTTTTTATTCGCACCATTAATCACTAGAATAAGTACCATTAATTAAATAATATCATCCATGATTTTATTTAAAGGCTTTATGTTATGTGGGAAGTTTGAAATCTCGACGTTTATCGTTCGATTCTAATATATTTAGTTTCGTTTAGCAACTTAGCAACTGAGTAATTCCCCTTCATTATTTCCCTTTATGCTATTAACTTTTAGCCTTTTGTTGCTTATATCGCAGTTATAAGTTTTTTTAATTTGATATTGTTGTTTGATATTGTACTTTATCTTATTGTTGTTAATGCAAGCACATGGTGCTTGTTGCTTAAATAAATAAATGTTAGAATGTTAGAATAATGACGGAGAGGATTGTAAAAAATTGAAAAAATACAGAAATTTTTAAAGCGTGAATTTTTTAAGAGAATATTTTCACATCAAAAGTAAGGAAGAATGGACTTGTGAAAGAATAGATCTCGAAGGTAATGAAGAACTCCGAATAGAAGCTCCTAGTCTTTCACCAAATGTATGAGACCATCTAGATTGTCTATCATATGACTTGCTAGGTGGATCAACGCCAGCCCATCTGCGATATTCTTGAGCTGAGAAAATGTCATCAATCGTACGGCAATGGCTCGATGCTAAAATAAAGTTTATTATAGGTAATGGCAGATAATTTTATTGAAGTTTCCGTATCAGATAGATAATTTTATTGAAGTTTTGAGATAATTTTATTGAATTTTCTAGTAGAAAGAAAAAAACCTTAGTTTATAGTTAATAAAATAATAAAAACTATTATTCTTATTTAATATTTATTATATTCAATATTTTTAAAAGAATTTCTTTATATTACCAATTAAATTAAAAATATACACTAAAAATCAAAAATGCTTAAGTAGAAGGGAAAATGTAGAAACTATCAGGTAGTTTGCCTTGAAATTTGCAGTGTAATTTGGCTCTAAAGGAATTTGTCCAAGAAGTTATATTATTCGAAAAGTCTCAAAAATTTTGATTTCAAACCTTTAACGAGTATAAACTTAATTAAAAGTGGAAAAAAATTTATTTACTATCCACTTATTTACTTATATGTTGCAAGGAATTTATAACACAATGATTTAGCAAGATTAAACTTTTGCAATATCATATAAATGGAATAGAAGGCGATAAGCAACAATAATCAGCGTTCATCATTTCATTTTAGGTTTGCTCTGATTATTAATACGGTTAAATTTTAGCAATGAAGCATTTGCAGAAGTCAGAGTTGAGTGGTCTATATTTTTTAATAACGGATTTATTTTTGTGAGGGTCATGGGAATTGAACTCATGAAGCTCAATGGGAATAAAAGCAACCATGCCGCTCGACCATTCCCCTATAAAGCGACATAAAATTAATTTTAAAATTCAGCAGATTTGTTATATTAATGCCTTAAACTAGTAAAAGGATGAAGGATAATAATTTTTTATTTACCTATTTTTATAAAAAAATAATTTTCCACTTTTATCCATAAAAGATTACAGATAGATATATAAATATATAAAATTCTTAAAATTTGAAATATCTTAAAAGTGAATTTTTTCCTGAAATATTCATCATTAGTTAGGTAAACAAAAATATGTAAATAAAAAATGACTGCCTTATGCAAAGTCTTGAACAATTTAAAAATCTTGAACAATTACTGAATTTGTGATAGTAATTATCCACAAAAATTCAAGTAAAAGGTAAAAATGGTAAAAATGCATTTGGCCTACAATACTATTTACACTACTCCAAATATTTGAATCTTATGATAATCTATAATTGTTTTTTGTTTTTCTTGATTATCCAGCGAATTTAATTTAGAACTTTAAGTGTTGGTCAAAATGATTATTTAGGATTTTCAAAAAAAAGGAAGCCTACTATTGCATTATATTTAGCTGCAAAGTGGTAAAAAACTTTTTATAAATACATTAATTTTCAGCGAATAAAATTTATTTCAATTTATTTATTTTAATTCATTCCATTCAAGCTAAAAGAAAAAAATCCATTTTTCTTTATCCTTTATATTTTATTTTTCCAATATTTTCATAATTGTTCTTCGAAAAGTTCGAATAATATTGCCAAAATATAAAGTTTATCGCAAAAAAGATGCATATAATTTGCAATTATAATTTGCGTAAGATAGCCAAATAATTGTGAATAAAGAAAGGGATTCTAAATTATAGGGATTCTAAATTTTATTAAAAACATTGGAATTGGCTACCTCGATGAGAAATATATGAGTTGGTGAGTGTTGGTGAAAATGTCATTTCAGGTGCTGAAATCGCTCCATCTGATTCAACATCAACTGCTTAAAATATAATTTTAATTGAAACTTTCCTGTTTCAGTGGATGATTCATTTCCTTTATAATAAACCAACCAAACCAAACAAAAGAGGAACTATTTCAGATAACATAAACTTTTTTTACGGATAAGTATTTAAAATTTACCGTTTGTGCCACCAATAACATCATTCCGCCATTTAACTGATCTTGGTGCAGTTGCTGATGCAGCATGTCGCCTAGGCAAGGAATTACTTTTATAGGCTAAATCAACTGAATGCCAACCGAGATTACGATCTATTTTTCGATCAAAAATTGGTGAGCATAATGAATGATGCATAGAATAACCCACATCGCTCATCGATTTTTGAGACGAGGAAAATGGTGTCGAACCATAAGGCATTTGTGTTTGAGGCAATTGGCTGAAATTTGATGGCGTTGTACCACTATAACTTGCTTGAGTTTGTGTAGATGAGCATGGATAAGACTGAAGGGGAATCGCCCGCAATGGATGAGATCGAGGAATCGAGCATGTATAAGCGGGATGCGGCTAAAAACATATTTTGTATCCAACAAACCAACTTTATTTTAACTAATGAAAGAAAAAAAGATGTTGTGAACTGTATTAAATATTCAAAATCACGAAAAATTAATGCTTTTAAAACTTTTTTTTTGAAAGAGTTTTTAAAGGCATTTTGGGAATATTTTCTAAACTCCCATTAATAAAAAAAAATTATTAACAAAATCTGATTATCCAACATAAGAAAAAAAAATAATTTCTCATTAAAAAGCACCAACTGATTTTCGGCACCTTGAATTATTTCAGAAAATAATGTTATCTCCCCGGTTGTTCATCGAAATTTTCGATACCCTTTGATATTTGATCACCGACAAATTACCTGTAAAGGCTGTGAAGTCGCGCCAAAACTATCCGTGCGACGAATTGTTGCTGGTAGTATTTTTGGAGGAGGCAAAAGCGCAGTGCGGGAGACAGTTTCCATCAAAGAATCACCTTTATTATCTATTAAGAGAGGTGATTGAGCAAAACGTTGTTTAGGATTTTTTACGGGCACATATGATGTTGCACATGTGGCTTGTCCTCGTTGTTTACTAAGTTCTTTCGATTGCGGATATTGTTTAGCCATTTCCTTGAAAAAATTCTGCTTCAAATCTTTAAGCAAATGAAACCATAAAAGATGATGAAAAATCGGAAGTAATCTTCGATACGAGCAATAGTGCTTGCCACAATCCAGACAATTTGTGACAGAAAAATATGGCTCGAAATATGTAAAAAACCCTTTAAAGGAAATTGGCTTATGAAAAAAGAAAAAAAGTTTGTCGGGCAACTTGGATCTTTTTTTATCGACTTTTTCCTTTCGAGTGAATTTGTTTAAAGAATATGTCAAAATGGTGTAAATATTTCTATCAAATGCTTACTAGTTCATAAAAAATTATTCGCTATAAATTAATGTAATATTATATAAATATTATAAATATAATTTCACACTTCGCGATTATTTAATTTAGACTTTCTTTTAAAATTTCATTAAAAAGATTCAAGAAAACTTATTGATAAGTTTAAATGTGCAATAATAAAAGAAAAATTGTTAAGATAAAGCATTTGATAAACGGAACGAAAAAAACGAAGCCATTGAATTAGCTCTTGCCATGGCTAAAAATTTTCATCGTGAATACCCTATTCATCGTTGATCCATTGTTTTCATATATAATAATCAGACAATTTGTCAAATACTTTAAAATGACATTTGTCACATTTCCTATAGTTTTCGCTGAAAAGAGGTAACTCTGTGGCAGAATATCTGTTTAATTATCTCAATAATCAGTATTACAATTATAATTAAGAGAAATACAATGAATTTTGCAGTCGATCTGAACAAATTTTCTTTAAAATGTCCCCAATATACGAATCATTAAAACAGGCAGTCCATTCAAATGGGATAATTGTAAGCATTTATTCATCGTTTCTGGCTGTGTACGCTGGCTACGACGAAACAATTTTGCCCGAGACACACTCGATAATAGAGAAATGGATCCGGAAGCACTCAGAAAATGAAAAGTGAACAAGGACCAAAAGGGATAAGATGATAATTTACCATGAAATGATAATTTTTAAGGAGTTTTGAAGTTTTTTCTTCTTTTCTTGCATCGACCGCTTGAAATTTTTGTTATTCTCCAATAACAAAAATTACATTATATAAAAAAAAGACCATAAAATTCTTTAACCTCCAAAAATTTCTCTCTTTGTTATTATAATTACAATAAATTATAAGTTATTATAATAAAATAAATAATAATTTATTTATTTTCGAACAAAGAGCACTTAATAGCCGATATTCTCTGTGGTGATGTCCTTATAGAGAAGTTCTTTTAACAGTTTAGAAGAATTAAATGACCATTATTGTTCTAATCAATTTACATAAGAAAAAATTTTATTCTGACTTGTCCATCAAGCGAGTCTATCGTCCTCTAAGGACTCACATTAACTCTTCGAGTTCTATCAACCTATTTAGGAGCCTAATTTAACCAATATTCAGCAATACAATAAAGACTGCTCTAAAGCCTTATGAGAAAATATTTAAATGGGATGGGATCATAAATAATAATAAATAAACGGGATCACAAGTATGCAACGTTTCTTAAAATGCTTAAAAATTTTCTAAAATTCTTAAAAATCTGATAAAAATGAAAAACAATTAAGTTATTGACATGAACAAATCAAAAGTGACAGCGAAGCTTAGAAAAATTCTTATATGGAAATTCAACGAATATATAAAATGAGAATTGAATCTTTTTATATAAATTTATAAAAATTCTCATAGACTGATAGTTCTTAAGTATTTGGATAACAATTAGCAATTTTAAATGGGGAAATTTCTGCTAGGAAGAAAATCAACCAAGGACAGCCAAAAACTAAAAGATTGCTTGCCATATGAAAACCATAATTTTTGAGCTTCGTTACGAAGAGACGACATTATTAATAATTGGTTTGAATTTGATATTGCAATATCAATTTTTAAGGAGTTTTATGTTTTGAAGCCGTAGACGAGTTCGGGAGAATTAAAGAAAGACGAAATACATTAATGATTAGACAAAGTAGAATTGAGAACGCAGGATTTATATATTTTTAAACGAGAAAATATCAAAAAAATTAAGAAAATATTACTTTAATGCCGGTATGGCCTAATTTTTTGTAAAAGATGACCATTTTACTAATATTTTATTTAGTTATACCATATTCTTTTTATTTTTTTGTTCCACAAACTTACTTTCCCTTACCAGTCATTTTTTTTTAAGTCCTCGCCATTACTGGTTAAACCCGCTCCACTTACTTGTCGTCTTGGGTAATATGCCAGGAAGTCCCTTGGCGGTAGAGATACATGTGAGTCGCCAGCATCACCCGGATTTTTGCACAGGTTTACCTCCGCGAGGAATCGAACCTCAGCACCGGCATTTCCAATTGAGCAACAACACACTGGGCCATTCCACCCTCGGTTACTAGTTATTAAAAAACCGTTATGTCCCTTTCACTCGGCAAACCTGAATCATATTCTATTTTTTGTGGCAGTTCTATATACCTTCAATTTTTATTTTCTATTTTTCTTTCTTTTCTTAAAAAATACACCCAAAAAATTTTTTATATAAAAAGGTAATGAATGTCTGAGAATAAGATTAGAGTTTTTCGCCCTAAAAAATTATTCCAAATCATTATTCGGAAAGAAATAAAATATTTCTACAATATTTTAATAGAGGATAACTGTAATATGTGACCAGAGAAACCTGTAACAGGAAAATGAAAACATTGAAACCCTCGCCGACAAAAAGTAAGGCACTTTTTCTGATGAAAAACTATTATATAAACGTTGTAATAGATCGATCACCTGTTGTTGGCGAGCTTTTTTGCCAAGCCAAGTGTTTGCAGTGGATGTTGGATGACTGAGTAAGGAAGATGTAGAAGTATCGTCATTAACTCCTTCCTGTTCTTTTTGAAAAACAATTACTGGACGAGTGATCATTGATTGTGATTGAGTTATTCTTTCTCTGCATCACAAAATTTTTTCAAAAAAATTTAGATAACTAAAAAATCTTAAAAACAAATCGCCTTCATTTACTAAATAAGGATGACAGAATAGTCGATTGATTGCCGATTATCATTTTGTCGAATAGATTACCATTTCGAATAGCCATTAAAAAATTTACTGTTGCTGACCCACTTATACTTCTATCCCCAAATAACTTTCTAGCATCCTAGCAATATCTAATGGAATAAAATGGCAAAAACGGCGAAAGCACGTGTTGCTGGATAATTGATAATATTGATAAATTTATGAATTAACAATAATCTCTCCAACAAAAAAGTGTTATAAATAAGATAATTAAGGTAACGTTCGTCACCTCCTATTTTTAATATAGCGTATCCTGAGAAGAAGACGTCTAGGTATGGAAAGAACAAGAACGACATCATCAATACTCATCGTAGAAACATCAACATTATTCACAGATAGAATTTCATCACCTGGACGAATAATATCACCGTATTTCTCAAGTTCCGAATTTTCGCCAAATCTGGACGCGAAAACACCGGATGTTCTGTAAATTTGAAGTCGACATTTATTATAGTTTCCATTAATCCATAAATCTAACCTTTATGTTTAAATTCAAAATCTAGTATTAAACCGAAAACTGTTGAAACCTACACGAAAAAACTAACCCACTGTCAATGTTTAAAGTGAGGGTTTTACGGCCAATAAAAAAAAAAAAATATTGGAAACTACCTATCGATTCCATTGCCTTCTCGAAGATAAAGGCCAAGGCTTTGACCAGGTTTTTTGATTATTTCCACGAGTTGCACTACTACAATTTCTCCAACGCCTGATACTCCGCGCTGTTCCATGCGGTATTCTGATCTGAAATTGCGATTTGCTCCAAATTTGGAAAAGTGAGAAATAATCTCCACACTTTCTCTTCATATTCAGCAATCATCATTTCCAGTTTAGATTTCTCTATTCAAAACTCTTTCAACAGAAAATTATTTGGAAATAAAAGTACAGTTGCATCTGTAGCACTCTTCGAATATTTATTTTCCATGACTACTCTGTTAAAGGGCAATAATCTATGATACTTGATTATAGTGGAAGCAAAATATCTAATTTTATACTGATTTTATACTTTTATATTTTTTGCAGAAATTTTTTAAAAAAAAAGAGTTTGCGAGTTTCTAAAAGTATTTCTCATTTAGAAGAAATGCCAATTGACCACCACGATAAAAATTAAGCTAACTTGTCCAGAACACGAGCCGAAAATCCACTAATACCCGTTGCAGTTAAAGTTGACGATTGCTGGTCGACTTGTCGAATTTTCTTTACAACTTCTTCTGATAGAGGCCATCCTTAAATATTTTTTAATGATAAAGCGAATTTCAAAAACATATTGTTAAATAGAAGAAAACTGGAGAAGAGATTATATTAATAGCGTTAAAATTAACATGGAAAACAAAGAAAAACAAGACGCGAATGATAGCCAAAATTCAGTTGCCTTGTATGGTATTCAAAAGAGAAAAATAACAAGCCGAAATTGAAACAACTGAAACTGAACCACACTCACTCCAGAGGTAAAGTATGCTATTGTGAATTAAACCACCAATTAACGACTATTAATTATGATAAAAATTATTAGTTGTAGGTTGAGCAATACATTAGCATGATTTTTCTAATGCGAAGGCTAGCATTCTTCTTCGGCCCATGTATGTGGAAATATCCAGGATTTCCCAATGTTCCAACAATTTTACAAGTGCATAATGCTTTAAAATATAATATTCAAATAAAGTTGCTATTTATGTGAAGTTTGAAATGTACGGTATAAATGTTTTTGTCTAATACTAAAATATTTAGGCAGTTCAAATATGAAATATAGAGAGAAATAAAAGAATAGATATTCTATTAACAATTTTTAATAAAGATAATAGATAATAAAGTTTTCTCTGTCAGCATCGTTTTAAACTATTGCAAGTCACATAGACCTTTTGTTGACTACGGGACTACCGATTGTCAAAAATTGGAGCGGAAATTTTTATATATATATATATATATAATTATCAAAGAATCTCGGAGACTCTTAGGGACGACCTTCGGATCCTACTACATTCATAATTGATATCGGCAAAGGCATCAATTCGATAATTTACTGCAAAAAAATAGCCCAGATGAAAATTGATTGCATATCGAATACTCACCTCGACCTTAATTCGAAATTCTTGTCAACGGTCTCCCAAAAATCGAGTGCGTTTCAAGAGATTTTACTCAACATTTTTTTATTTTTATAAATATTGATATCTTCCTTATTCTTTTTCTCATCCAACTGCCTTTTCTCTATCGATTATATAATTAATGAAGCCAGTTTTGCATTTGAAAACACGCTTTTTATAAGGAAATAAATGAAGAAAAAATTAAAATTTTAAGTGTAAATAGGAAAAATTTTGAAAAAGTAACTTTTTCGCCAAATAAATAAAAGAAATTTTTGATTAAATTGGCGAAATTTAAAAAAAAATTCTTTTTAATTTTATAATTTATTCATTAATTAGACCATTTATTCAAAATTTCTAAGAAACGTTTACTTACAAATTCATGGGTTACTTTATTATTAATTAATTAAGCGATAAGCCATATATATCCTTCGACAAGGACGATTCAAAAATTTTTGTTCAAATCAAGCTAATAAATAAAATGACTTCATGAGAGCGTCTAGAAAGCGAAATTTGTCCCTGACGCACTTTTCGGAAACTTAGTCTCTTTTGGTTACATTGCAAGAGCAAAATCAACAGGTAAATAAGACCGAATATTATTTGTGAATATTATTTAATATTACTCAATTATTTGTGAATAAAAATCTGAAGAAAAAGCTTAAAATTCGAAAATTCCACCAAGGGAAAAGAAAAAAAAAAGTTTGTTATTTAGTAAATGAAAAATATATTTAATAAAATATAATAAAATTTAGTAGAGAATATAAATAAATTTTTAAATATAATTTAATAATAAATAATATACAATTTTTTCAATATATGAGATAGAAAGGCATCGCTAGAAACACCTTGGATTTTTTAATGATAAATTTACCCCTTTAGAGGATAAAAGCCGAACTCTTGGCTCTCAACACGGCAGTCTGAACCACTGTCCATTCTGCCACCCTCCCCCTTATAAAAACAATATTTGGATAAAAGGCTTTGCTCAGTTCTCTATCAGGGAAATCCAAATTTCTCTATAATTGAAATTTTACACTTAGCAGACGTAAAGACCGACATAATGCTTAAAACAATAGTCTAAAAACAATGGAAAAACAAATAAAATCAACAAAATTTGCAAAAAACAACGTTTAGTTCAATAAAATATAAAAAGAGGTGAACAAAGAAGAAATGAACCTGAATGCCTTTCATTTGATGTTGTCGATGATTTAGCTCGTTGTTGATTCCAAGGCATAGAATTAAATGGTTTCTGGAAAGAAAATACAGAAAAGAGAGAGAGGAAAGGAGATTAAATAATCTCAGGATGGTGTAAAAAGGGGCAACTGCAATCCAAATAAATCCTTATTGAAAATTTTAAATCTCGATTCGCGATGAAATGCTTTACATGCTCGAAAGAAACGAGAAAACGAAAATTTTCCATTTTTTGAAAAAACTATTACTCCACCCTTTCTTGACTATCCTTTTCTATCGCGCTTGATTAACATTGCTCTATCTATAAAAGACTACACTGCTACTATCCTAAGCCATTATTCCCAGTGAGCCTTTATTGAATATATTTATATATATGTATATATAAATCTATTGAAGCATGGCACACACACACAATTTATCGATCGTCAGAATATTAGGTCGAGAATTCGAACATCGATTGAGATTCTGAATCCAGAAAAAATGAAAAACCTTCCTTTCTTTGTCTATAATGAGAATTTTCTTTTATCAGCAAATTGCTTTGTTATTATTTAAATTAATAACTTTAGAAAAAAGAGCAATTAGTTAAAATTTCACTAAATATTAAATTTATACAAATTTATACAAATTTTCTAATGCTTATACATGCAAATAGCAAATTAGCAAATTTGTGATTAGCAAAATATTATATCGCCCTATAAGAAAAGAAAGAATAATTTTATGTTTAGCTCATTTGTTTCTTAGCTATAGTGGAAAATTATTGTGGATGGTGCTTGGTGCTCACCTTTTTTCACCCTTCAACTGTGGAAGGCAGAGTACCCGAGTGGTGTTGTTTAGATTGCACATCTAGCAAGATTAAAACTTGGACCCATCTTATCTCCATTCACTCTCTTCTTGCTAAATAATAATCTCATCCTAGCCAGCGAAGCGATTCAAATGATGAATTTTTCTAGGAGAAGAAGTAATAGCCAGAAAAAATCTATGGTAAAAAATTTGGGATCCTCATTTTCAGGATCACCATATCGTATGATCAAATAACTAACAATTGAATATGAAAAAGCTGAAGCTGACTTTCTGCCTATCGCAAAAAAAGTACGATATGAATTTTGCATATTTAGTACCACAAATGAGCCAGTAGTTAGTATTTATAACAAAAGTGAAACGAGCTAATCATCAAAGAAAGTCGAAGTTGAATTTTACTTGGACTAGTTGATAATAGTTCGATGCGATCCAATTACGATTGATAATAAACATTTCGTAAGGCTCAAGATTTAAGATATAATTTGACATCATATGCGCAAAAAATTTATCAACAGAGAGGAATAAAACTGCATTTCATCACACCTGTTATTTTTGAATATGTTGTTCTTAAATCCGTCCCTCATTTATATTTTAAACAATTCGAGTGCAATAAGCAAAAGTATAAATACGAATTTTTTGTTATTTTATATATAGTTACCAGGATTATTATCTAACTGAGACCAAAGTAATCAGTGGTGATAGGAGCACTAGGCGCTGCGAATCTTATACTTAGAAAGTGGTTCCAATTAAATTCTAGTTCAGAGATCTCTATCCAGAAGGGTGCACTAGAGATACGCAGCTCCCAAGCCTCTGGCAGAAGATCCGAAGTTGAGGAGGAGATGTTCTATTGCTAATAAAAGAAACTAAAACAAAAGTTCAATGCAATCTTTCGTTCTAATAAAATTAAGCCTTTTAATCAACCTTTCGACTTCAAAAAAGCAATGATATCTTTTTGGAAAAATATGAGATTAGCTTAAAATAATACAGTGCAGCTTAAATTTTTTTCTTAAATAAAAATTTAATTATTTTAAATTAAAATGAAAGATAAAGAAAAGTGGAATCTGGACTACTGGCTGAAGCAACTAACCTCATGTATGCAACAGCATAACCAACGGCACCAACTTGAAATACGCCGTCGATGCAGTGATCCATAATAATCGCTAATGGGTATATTATAATACGATGAAACTAATGGCACATGAGACATCAAATCTTTGCGGCAATTCTCCGCCTAAAAACTTTTCAAGTTTTAAAAAACAAAACAAAAAAATAACTGTACGTAAACGTAACGTCCGGGCCAAATTGTAAAAACAAAATACCGTATAGCTTTGCTTACGGTCTTAAGAAAAATCTGTCATTAAAAGAGATAAGAGCGCGAAAATATAACAAATTTGATAAACCGATTGGTAAAAAATACATGCAACTAAATTTAAATACATAAATAGAAATTTATTTCTGAATATTTATTTGAGCCATATTCAATTTGGTCAGAAAGTTTGATCAAATTATCATGGACGATAGCGTGGTTGAGCATTTTAAGCCGAATTCCATAAAATACATAGAAGTACAATAGAAAAGCAAAGCGGAACTATCTACGATCTGCTTACAAAGTCGCATCTATTATCAATCATCAGTGAAATTCAATTAATCAAATTCAGAAATTAGCGATGGTAAAGATTAAAAATTATCTACCTCAGGGTTCAAAATTTGCATAAAATTTCCTATTATCGTTTAGTGTAATTTTTTCATTGTTTGCAATTTTCAACTTAATAAAAGTTATTGAGTCGAGTACTTTCATTTTACAAATGAAAATTTTTGGATAAAATTTTTCCAATCTTTTACTTATCTTTTTAATCACTTTAAACTAATAAGGAAAATGGCTCAGTGAACTGTTGCCCTTATTTTGAATTAGAAATGCCGTGGTTCTACTTTCAACAAGAGTAAACATATATACTTATAAACATGATAAACATATACTTTATTCAAAATTCGCCTGACCTGACAAGCCGCCAGAGCTAGTGGCATAACCAGCAGTGACTTACCTTTTCAAAATTTGCTAACATTCAGTTAAATAACTGACAAATAGCTCGCTAATAATCCATAATTAGTAACCATGAATGACTGGTTTATATGCAAAATTGATAATCAATTTTGCATCAAAATTGATTATCAATTATTGTTGTCATATTATCATATCCTGGAGAAAATTGTTTTTAAGATTTTTGAGATTTCTTCATTATTATGCAGCAAAAATTCCAATTTCAAAGGTTTTACTGCGGCAACTCTGGTCTTTATTTTGTTAGCTAGCCATATTAGGATAATCAAAGATTATTGGCAATATTTTTGCCATAATTCGCTATCTTTTTTAAAATAAACCTGTTCCAATTGATTATCCTATTTGATGAATTATCCTCAAATGAAAAGCACCTAAATCCATAAGTTGATTGATATGTGACAATTTATTCGATATAACGATTTATATGTTTGAATGCCTTACAATATTCAACTAAGATTGATAAAATCGATATCTTCATGAAATCTCAAAAATAAAAAAAACGAACAAAAAGCCTTAGAAAAATCTAAGGAAGGTTGAACTACGAGATTAGCCTTCAGCTCATTTAGTCTCGATGTTGTTCCAAGTAACATGTCGCCCAACTTCTCTGAACACGAAGGTTATGCAAAATAATAATGGATTCAGGCGTCAACATATATCAAAATCAGCAAAAATATAAACAGCTGTAATTTAAAAAAACAACTAAACTTATTGAAAACATTGCTTAACAAAGCCGCTAAGTGGAAAATATAAGAAAAATAGTTGCAAGCGATACTAATCGAGTTTGTTAATTAATTAATTAATTGATATTTAGAGGACCAATATTAATAATTTAAAACAAGAAGTTTGAGAGAGAAAATTATGGAGGATTAAACGAAAAGACTGGCAATCATTGTTATAATTATAATAATAATAATAATAATAATAATAATAATAATAATAATAATAATTAAATAAAAGAAAAATGCTGGTGGATTAACGTAAATAATCTATATAAATTATCCTAAAATAGATTTTCATATTAATTTCGATTTTCACATGTTTATTCTACATTCCTAACCAACTTAATGGGAAAATTTCATCTAAATTTCAAATTTTCAAAAAATATAACAAAATTTTGGAAAAATGAATAAAATGAACAATATATTAAGTAAAAGAAAGTGGTTCAGGCTCATCACTTCTGATTAGCAAATTCTTCAGGCTATTGCTAAACTTAGAAATTACTACCAGAGAATCAGTTGGAAGTAAACAGCGATAAGTCGCTGACAACATTTGAATTTGCTCCTGTCAGCACCAGGCAACTGAACCTTTGGTGCAGATTTAAATAGGGAAAAATGGACTATTTCCAGTCATTAGGAATTTGCGATCTTCTAAGTAATTTTTGTTTTATACTGAGATAACAAAGAAATAGGATTTATCGTATTTGTTTGGTGGAATTGTGTTTTAGCTTTTCTCAATTACTCTCCGATTCTTTACAGTTTCTGCAAACTGAATTCGTTTTTCCAATTAAATAAATAATATTAATATTAGTTAATAAGGAAAAATAGAATAAAGAAAAGTGTAAAAGCTTCAATAAATTTTCTCGTTCTTCTGGCTCAAATAATAATAATAATAATTTTTTAGCAATATTAGTAAAAAGATTTACGTTTTCTTAAACTCGGATCAAATTCCTCGCCATTCTGTTACTTTTCTATTCTGTTCTATTGTTACTACTTAAGTAGCTAAATTCTGATATATTAAAAAATCTCTGTCTGCCCTAGCATCTTCCCCATCTATTTCTCTTTTCTCCATTATAAGCAGTTAATACTCATAATCATAATCACTATGATCTCGGCCTTGATTTGATAATTTTAAGGCTAATAACTTTGGCTGGAGTGCAGGGATCGACAGATGATTTAGGAAGATGTGAACGGATTTAAGCGGTTAAAACTGCGTATAAGGTTGGAGAAAAGACAGGTTCATTCATGTTAGAAAAAATATGGTGCGGTTTCGGATATATTAAAACTTCGCAAAAAATTCTCACAGAACTCAGCAGGTTTTGAAATAAATATTTTGAAAAAGATAAGCCGAAAAGAAGTTTTACTGTTTGAAGCAAGTTTTTTCCATAGGCATATATGACGTATTTACATATTAAATAAGCATGTGCATTTGCAAATAAGCATTAAATTTGACAGTAAGTTCAACTACTATGA